CTGTAACCCTGCCCGAGCGCGCTGGCTCTGCTGTGTCCCATCACCGGGGTCTGCAGGGGACACGGAGCAGGTCCCTGTCCCCCCAGTCACGAGATGGGAGCTGGGGCTGCCTGGTCCATGCTATGGGAATGCTGCTGCTTTGCCAGCTCTATTTTACCCACAGAGGTAGGCTCCAGCTTTGACCTGGGCAGTGGGAGCATCCCAGACACCAACCAACAAAGCACCACCTCCTGCATCCCGCTCCTTCCGAGGATGCAGGAGTTGGGGGTCCTGGGGTCCGTCCCCCAGCCCATGCTCCCACCACCACTTCTATTGCCGTTAATGACCCCAGTTGTGAGACCTGATGCCAGTCCTAGTGCCCTGTGTGGCCGACACAGGAAGGCCAGGATGCAGAACCACTTCCCAGTGCTCCCTCACCATAAGCAGGACCGTGTGCTCCGATGCAGACCACAACAGACACAGAGCCGCTGTGCCACATCAGTGGGCAAAACAGTTCCAGTATACAAATACCTCGTGCTGCTGGGAGTCTCGTTCAGCTGGGATAAGGGACAACCTGCCCCGGTGACTGCACCGGGCCTCAGCTTCCTGCTCTGTGAATCCATCTGGACCCGCTTTGCAGGTGCAGTGAGCCCTGCTCAGCAGAGTGAGGCAGAGGCTGGAAGTCACCGTCCCCATGTCCCAGCCCCTGCGCTGGATTCCAGCCCTGCAGCTCCCCCAGCACAAGAAGAGCCTGGATAAGAGCCTGGATTGCTCATCCCGTGTTAATGCCCAGTAAATGGCTTTGCTTGATTTCCTGTTTGTGCTGGGGGGGGTAAGGGGCTGGGAGCTGCTGGCACACACAGGGAAGCTCCACTGCAGCCGCAACTTTGAAGTCCTGACCCTAGAGAGCAGGAGGTGTAAACTCGTGTGTGGCTCCAGGCAGCACATGCAGCAGTGACCGATGTCGCACGCTCGAGGGATGCGGTGCCCGTGTGATGGAGGGACCAGCTCTCAGCAGTGATGGGTACCCAGGAGTGACAACTGCGCTACCAAGGGAAGAGTGAAGCCGTGTTTGGGTGAGTGCCTCCGGGACCTGAGGGTTGGTGTTGCTGTGGGGGTTCCGCTGCCCCAGCTCCCACAGAGGTTAATGGGGTGCTCCAAGGAAAAAGCAGGGACAGGCGGGTGTTGGGAGGGGAGCTGGGGAGGCCGGGGTCAGAGCTGAGCAGGGTGGTGAGGAAGAGATGCCCTGCGCTTGCTGCTGGGTGGGTTTTGCTCCAGGCTGTGAGGCTGACCCCCCCAGACACCAGAACCATCACATTACGATGGGATTAAATCACAGCTGAGAAGCAGTGCAGGCTGGAGAGGGCTCTGGTGCGGCTCCCATGGGGAATCCATCTGCCCCAGCCAGAGAGCACGGAAGTGTCCTGCTAATCTCATTAACGAGTTGACACTTGCAGGTAGGACCAGCCCTGAGCCGCGCAGGGTCATGGGAGGTGCTGGGTTTATCCTTCCCTTTCCGGATGCTCCGAGGCGGAGGTGAAGGGAGGGAAGGGGGTGTTTGTCCCCCCGTGTTGGACAAGTTACAGATGGAGGCGGCTTCTTGAGCCCGGCCCCACAGAGAGCCCCTGCTCCCTGCTCTGACAGCATCCACCTTCCTCCGAGGTGCCAAGGACCGAGCAGCGACCGCCGGAGCCGTTCCCGGGGCCAGCTCAGCCACCGGTGCCACGCAGGGGGTGGCAGGAGCGGGGGCTCTGCCTCCGTTTCCTCCTCTCTGTGCCGGTGACGCTCCTCTCTGTACGCACTGCTGACACATCCCATTCGAAGGCACGGGGCACCGGCACCACCTCTCCCCTGTGTCACAGGAGGCAGCTCCCATTGACCCATGCAGTGCTTTCCCCTCCCTGGGCAGCAATGCCGCCCTGCAGCCACCTCCCTGCAGGGGCAGCCACCGCACCCATTGCCAAGGCCTTTCAGTGGGCCCGGAGCCAACCCCCTGCATCCCGGGGGCTGTCGCCCATCGCGGTCCCTCCCTGGGCCATGGCTGCAGCGGGGCTGTGTGACCCGGCCGCGGGGTGGGAGCCGATGGCCGCTCCCCAGCAGCGGTTCCCCCGCACACCTGCAGCCCGCGGCTCTTGCATAAGTTGGTGTTGCCACAGCAACTCCGCTGCAGCCGGGGCTGGAGGTGCCGGCGCTGCCGTCAGCCCGCGGAGGGCTTGCTCCGGGGATGGGGATGGGGATGGGGCTGGTGCCAGGGCTGCTGTGAGCTTACCCCAGCCCGGTCACGGCTCCCACACTGGGCCCACCGCGGTTTGCTCCTCCGCAGTGGAAGGGCGCTGGGAGCAGGAGGAGCAGCAGGCCGGGCCACCCGAGGGGGCTCCGCTCCATGGTTACCCTGGGCTCGCTCCAGCTGCTGCGAGCCCCAGGGACTGAATCACCCCGACAAAAGGGAGCTGCAACCAAGGGGGGAAAGGAGCAATCAAAGCCACGGCTGCGGCACGAGGCAAGGGCAGGGTTTTCCTGCCCCGGATTCCCAGGGAGCTCCGGGCGCTGCGGGGCGGCAGCTCTGCCTTGGGCAGCAGGGAGGGCATGGGATGGGGAAGGGGGTAAGGGATGGGGTACAGGATAGGGCATGGGATGGGGAATGGGGTAAGGGATGGGGTACAGGATAGGGCATGGGATGGGGAATGGGGTAAGGGATGGGGTACAGGATAGGGCATGGGATGGGGAATGGGATACAGGATAGGGCATGGGATGGGGAATGGGGTAAGGGATGGGGTACAGGATAGGGCATGGGATGGGGAATGGGGTAAGGGATGGGGTGTGGAATGGGCACAGCGGGTACAGCGCAGGAAGCATGGCCCAGCCCAGGTAGCTGTTCCCTGTCACAAAGGGCAGCTCCAGGTGGCTGTTCCATTGTCACCAATCGAGAGTGTGTGACATGGGAGAAGCCAGGAGCAACGCTAATCTATAAAATGTGCCTCTGAACGTGAGGATAAACCACCGCTGCTTCCAAGCAAAGACCCGCTCTGGGAGCAGGCGGGTGGGAGGGAGAAAGCTGCTCAGTGCTCGCATCTCCTGGGGGAGAAGGAGAAGCAGAGGCTGGGAAGAAAGTGGAGCAGCTGCCTGAGAGCAGGCCTGGATGTGCGAGATTCTCCGAGGGTCGTCCCCAAAGGCCTCTTTTATTAAGAGGAATTACAAATCCTTTTATCCTCCTCACCAGAGGAACAGCTTGTTGGAGTGGCTGGGCTGTCACTCTGCAATGAGATGCAAGAACCCCCCACAGCCCTGACGCTGAGAAGAACTTACATAACGTAACTAAAAATAAGGGTGATGGAGATGTGGATGGAGGCATTCTCCTGATCTGGAAGCCATTGCCGGCATTAAAAGCCGGTGAGGATCCGGTGTCTGGTCACGGGAGCAGTGTCCTGGCAGGACTGGCTGCTTGGGATGGGGCGGGATGGAGAGGGAAAGGGGCACTGTGAGGACCTCGTATTGGCACAGGCAGCTGGGCATCCCTCCTGGGATCATCCCCTGTGGTGGCCTCATTCCCAGGTCCCCTGAGGTGATGCCCCACTGCTGCTTCCCTTTCCCAGCCCCCAGCAAAACGAGAAAAACCCTTCCCAGGGGTTGTCAATTCTTCCCTGTCCTTCGGAGTGTGAAATCTGAGGGGATCGAAGCCAAAACGGGACCCAAATACGGCCAGAGCGAGCGGTTGCCTTTGGTGCACCCCCTGCTCCTTGCCAGGGCTGGGATGGAGAGAGGGAGGCGGGAAGCGGAATAAAGGCAGGAGGTTTGGGACCAAGGTATCGACTGTTCTCAGAACTGATGGAGGAGATGATGGGGAAAAGCACACTCAGCTGCTTAACTGTTTCACCGCTCCTCGTGGTGGAGAGGAGGGAGAGGAAGGCTTGGCCCAAGGGCCAGGATGAGGCAGGCAGTGGGATGCGGGCTGCTGGCTCCAGGGCATGTCCCCCTTTCCTTGTGTCCTGGGGCTTGTGCAAAAGCTGCTGCCGGCCCGAGGAATGGGGAGGATGAAGGACAGGGATCTACAGCTTCACCATCCTGCAGCCGGGAGGGCTCCGAGGGCTTCCCAGGGGTGCTGCGGGTGACAAGGTTGGGTCTCAGAGCTGGCCAGGCACTGGGACAGGGTGGGGACAGCGAGGGGCAGGCGGGCAGGAGCTGCCTCTCCTCCTGCCCGTGCTGGTCTCTCCAGGGCCACAGGCAAGCACCACATGTGCTGCACCGGCTGCCATGCACCATGGTGCTGGTTCATCCCACCTCTGCTCTCCCGGCCCTCCTGGCCACTGTCCCCTGCCTTTCCCCTTATAAAACCAACACCCTGCATCTGCCGGCTGCTCTTTCCCATCCCCTAGCTGGGCATGGAGCACAGCACCAGCTGGTGGGGTATGGGGAGGCTGTGATGTGTGGCAGCTGAGGGACATGGGGTACGGCAGGAGATACAGGACAGGTAAAGCAGGGGTGCAGTGGGGAATACTGGGGCCATGGGGGGGGGTACAGCAGGGCTGTGGGATAGAATATGTGTCATTGGATGGGGAATGGGGTGTGTGATGGAAAATGGGGTATAAAGGGGGCATGGGATGGGGAATGGGGTGTGTGATGGGGAATGGGGTATAAAGGGGGCGTGGGATGGGGAATGGGGTGTGTGATGGGGAATGGGGTATTAAGAGGGAATGGGATGGGGAATGGGGTGCGGGATTGGGTACAAGATGGGGAATTGTCTATAGGGAGGACATGGAAAGGGAAATGGGCTAGAGGATGGGATTTGGGGTGTGGAACGGGGTATAGGGATGGGGAATGGGATGGGGACTACAGTGTAGGGAGCTATAGGAATAGGGAGATGGGGAATGGGGTAGAGAGAGCAAATGGTGCGCGGGAAGGGGCACATCAGGACGGCCACAGGAGCTCGCCCATCCCGCTGCCCCCCTCCCGCCCCTCACCGCGGAGCCCGGCCCGGCTCGGGGTGGCTCCTCCCGACGGGGCGGGGCGGTGGCGGCCGCCGGGAGCTGATAAAAGGCGTCGCGGAGGGCGCTCGGTGCCGCTCCCGCTCCGCCGCTCGCTCCGCTCCTCCTCGCCCGCCGCCGCCGCCGCCCATGGTGCTGCCCGGCCCGGCCGGCATGTCCCGCTCCGAGGAGGTTCACCGCCTCACCGAGAATGTCTACAAGGTGAGCGCAGCCCTCGGGGCTCCTGCTCGCTCCCCGAGGAGCCGCCGTCGGGGTGGGAGCGGCTGCGGGGGGGGGGGGTCGGGATGAGGGGACCCCCGGGGGGCACTGGCGTTATCCCGGTGAATTCATCCCACCGCCGCCCCAAACCCCCTGCCCAGGGGAGCCGGGCGCAGCCCGGGGCGGAGCGGTCGGAGCCTTCCCCGTGTCCCGGCCATAGCCGGAGTTTGGGAAATCTCGGCTTTTCTCTTCCTGCTTTGCGCCCGGTGTCGTTAAAACACAAAATACGTGCTTTAATTCTCCCTGTGAGGGAAGTGGTTTCTGCTCCGCTGGCTCCTGTGACCGGCGCTAATAAAACCTTTCTAGCCTAACGTGTAATGCAGGATGTCATTTGTTAAACTGGAAGGCTTGCATGATTTCCTGCTTTTAAGTGGTGGGATGGAGTTACCTGGGAGCATTAAGTAGGACAAAAGCATCATATAGAGGAATTTAGTACAAGCAATACCAAAGTAGTAAAGTTCTGAAGTCTTGGTCTGGGGGTCATGTGGCAGAGCAGCCATAGGCAGAGCTAATGGCACCCAAAACCGTGGGTGCTCTGGGTGTAGAGCAGGTCTGAATGGAGCCTTGTGGCTGCGGGGACAGAGGGCGAGAGCTGCTGGAGCTCATCCCAGGCTGAGCGCTGGTTGGTCTGGGGACAGTTGCTGGGAACGGTTTCAGCTGGTGACTCAGTGTTTGAGGTGTGTTGTCCTCGAAGAACTGTGCTAATAACAGGTTTGTGGAGCAGGTCACAATTTCCCTGGGTGCAGCCCTGTCAGCAGCGTGCGGGGCGGTTTGTGCCATCACAAGGACGGTGTTTAAATGAAGCTCATTTCCCCCAGGAGCTGAGGCTGAAGGGGGAATGGTGGCCAGGCTTTTCTCTTGCCTCTGACCATCAGATTCATTCACCATGGGAGCAGCAGGTCAAGGGATGGGGCAGAGCACCCATGGCCAGAGCAAGCGGCAGTGCTGGCTGGTCTGACCGCAGAGCAGAGGGTGCACGGGGCCTCATGGCTCCAGGAGTCAAAGATGGACAAAGAGGAGTCCAAAGGTCCCTTTAATTTCTCAGTGTTTTAATGGGAGCAGTCAGGGTGCAGGGAGTGAGGATGCGCTGGAGGCCCATGTGGTTTAACCCAGCATCTGCTATGGGAGCTGGAGGTCCTGACTGGTTCCTGTAGGGGATGAGGAGCCGTTTCACCAGTGCTTCTCTTGGCCTCTGGGGTTGTGTGGCAGGGGGTGCGTGCAGGAACCCAGTGTTTGCTGGTTCTTTGGGCACTTCTACAACCTCCTGGAGCCCGGTGTGAGGGCTGGAGGCTCGGTGACTCCCTCGAGCTTTGAGGTCTCCAAAACCACCCTCAGTGCTTTACATCCCCATTGCCCAAGTACTTTGGGGTTTGTCCCGTGTTTTTCTGTCCGCTGTGGTCAGGAGGCAACAGCCCCGAGGAAGGGGTGGTTTGGCCGTTGCCTCCTCACAGCCACCAGCCCCAAGGCACAGGGGAGCGACTGCCCCACGCTTTGCTTCCCACCACCACCGCTGTCATGGGGCCAGGGCTCCGGGGGGGCTGAGCCATTCGGTGCGAGGTCTGGAGCAGGAGGAGGCAGCCCCATGGCAGGCACCCGTTCCTGCACAGGCTTTCCCAGGGCGTTCTGCTCAGGAAGCCCATTGTAATGGCTTTCCAGCAGCAGCGCTCGCCCTCGGAGTGACGGTGCTAATGAGCTGGTGGAGGAGCTGTCAGCCTCCCCCTCGCCGATGCTGCCACTACACGCAGCTGCCCACACATGTGTAGTGATTGCAGAGGGAGACGGAGGCTGCTGGCACCTTCTGCCAACGTAATCCCACCCTCCCTGCCGCTGATTCACTCCCGGGGACCCGGTTGTAGTGGTTCTGCTGTGGGCAGGGGCAGGCAGCTGGGTGGACGGGCAGCAACGCGGCCAAGCCGGGCTGCTCCCATCCCTGCTCATCCCTTGCACAGGATGCTGTACGTGCTGGCAATCCTTCCTTCCCCTGAAGACAAATCCATCTCACTTACGACAGATTAGATTATTGCCGTTTCCATGCTCACCTCCGTTTCATTCTGAAGCCGTTCCTTCCTATGGAAGATGGTTTTGCACTGGTGTGTGAATAGCTCTGCCTTTGAAGAGGTGTTTGCTTAAAACCACCCCAAACTCGAGGCCTAATTGTCTTGCACAAATGCAGGCAGAATTCCTGATACACTCATTTGCTGCACATGGGCTGTAATAAATGTTATTGCCCACATAACAGCCTCTTGCTTCGTTATCTCCAGTCCAGAGGGAAAGGGGGGAGATTCTTGCTTAAGTGAATGAGAAGGAAAGTTGTGGGGTTTGGTGCATTGGCAGCGGAGGGACCTGCTGCGATGGGAGGAAGGAGCTGGCCCCTGGAGCCACCCCTGAATTCAATGCGCTTTGGGGGTGACGAGGGGCTGCTCCATCCCTCTGGGTGTTTCAGTTTGGGAGAGTGGTTTCTGGGCTCTGCTGCACCTACAGGTTGTTGAAGCCTGTGGATTGAGGAGTGGAATAAAGCTGAAGGTACCCCGGATGGCTTCCCATGCTCCCAGCTCCTGCCGGTGAGCGATGCTGCTCCTGGTGCTTCACCTTTGGTGCTGTGTTGAGCCTGCTCGTGGCTAAGGTTTCACTCCTGTGCTGCTCATGTTGCACGGTGCAGGCCAGCCCTTCACCCTCAGACACAACAGTGCATAGAAACTGAATGCATTTCCATGGGGACCTTGGGGGTTTTCCCCAACTCCCTTGCTCCTGAGCTCCTTTCCAGTGCGGATTGTGCTGAACCGTGGTTGTGCCGCCTGGCTTTGGGGCTGGACCTTGTGCGAGCCCTTGCTGGGGGATGTGGCTCAGCCATTCCTGTAGGCTTGGGTTGAGCTTTGGGAGTGCTGGGCAAGGGAGGGATGCGGCAGGGCAGGGGTCAGCAGCTCAGTGGGGTTATGGGATGCTGCTGTTCTGTGTTAAAGCACCAAGGTCCTGGGAATGTTGGATGGATGGGGATGCTCCCGGTGGCGGAGCTGCGGGGTCTGTGTGCTGAGAGCAATTGAGCCCAGCAGCCAGCGAGGCTCCGCTCCCTCCCTCCCTCCCAGCAGAAACTTGGCTCTTAAAGCTGTGCTCTGAGAGCAGGGGGCAGGAGGAGCGGATGGAGGCAGCGCTGCGCTGGGTTTGCCCATTAAATATTAATACAGAAATAAGGAAGGTGTTCCCAGAGCAGGGCTGGCCCATTTAGGAACCAGCCTTCCTTAGGGCTGAGCTGCTTTTGCAGCGTGGCTGTGGGGTAGTGCAGAGTCCCACAGTGCTGCCCTTCTGATGGCACTTGTCATGGTCATGTAACGTCCTGCTGTCACCCATGGGTGCCAGGCTGAGCCCAGGCCACCCGTGCCACTGCAACATCAGTCCTGCAAGGAGCCACCAAACCTTGCTGCTGCACAGGGGCATCAACAATGGCACTGGGAGAACGCTGAAGCTGGGTTTTAGCTGAGAGTCCAACACTTGTGTTCACTGAGGTGTCTGGGACATCCCCAGTGAGACTGGGATGGCTGGAGCCCAGGGCATGGCACACGCTGTGGTGTTAGCGGTGATGTTCATCCCTTGGACAAATCCAGGAGCCTCCTCCCCTCAATCCCTGCTTGTCCATCCCTTTGCCGTGCTCCTGTGTGGGGCAGAGGCTGGGCACGAGGCCTGGCTCTACTTAAGGCACCATAACCAGGGCAGCGTGCACATCGCTGGCAGCCTGGTGCAGCCATGCAGTGGTGCAGAGCCCACAGCCTCTCCCCAGCAGAGCAGAGGGGAGCCTGGTGTTTGCTTTGCTCTGTACTGGGTTTTAGGAGCTCCATGGGAGGCTGCAGGGATGGACCTGGGGAGAACCTGCTTTTAAATCCTTCTGAAAGCCCTGCAGGAGGTGTCTGTCCTTTCCCTGGGTCCTTCCTACGCAGCAGAAACCTGACACAACCTGAACCAGCTCCGTTTCCAGCTTCTGCTCTGGGCTGGCTTAAACTTTTACCAATGGGCTGCCTGTTACAGCCTCAGAGCGGCCGCTAGATCCTTGCTGTAGCCTGGAGCGTGCTCGGAGGGGAGAGGGGGGGACCTTGTTTTCTGTTCCTTCTTTCCCCCCCCTCATTCATCAGGACCTTGTGCTTTGCATTAGTTTCATTTCTGGCAGCTGACTAAAGCCGTGCCAGGCCCGGGGAGCTGCATGGTGTTACGGGGCATTCAGTGCACTGGAACAAAGCAAAAGCTCTTTCAACCTTTAGCTGCCAGGGTTGGGGTTTGTTTTTTTGCCTCTGTTTTATTAAACTCTGCCCAGGCGGCGCGTGGAAGGCAAACAACTGGTGGGTGGTGCTGATGGAGCAGGATCGGAGGGAGGACGGGGTTCGCTGCCGTTCCCCGTGTTCTGCTGCACAGCAGCTTTGCTGCGCTGGCTGCAAACCTGGCCTCACCTCCCTGGCTTATGGGGAGCTCTGCTGCATCCCCCCCCCAGCGCCGCTGCCCTGCCCATGGTGCATCCGTTGGCCGTGCGACGGCATCACTGCAGGAGCAGCAATGGTGCTTTGCTGTGGGTGAAGCGATGCTTGTGATGCGTATTCTGGACATAAAGATGGTTATTTTTCACTGTTCCTCCTTAGCAGCTGGTGGCTTTTCAGCCTCTCACCTGGAGGGGATGGGAGGGTGCATCGGGTCTGGAGTCACCTTCCCTTCCCACCCTGGGAGTGAGCAGAAGGCTTGAAAAGCTCTATTTTTGTCTGTGCAGTGAAGAGCCCTTTGCAGTGCCCTCGTCCTGCTGCGCTGTTTGTGTTGGAGGCCCCAAATGATGTCTTCAAAACATTCACTTTCAGCAAACTTCCTCTGAAGGTTTTGTCCATGGTGTCTGGGCAGCAGTGAGTTGCCTCCCCCTGCCTCAGCCGAGCAGCAGGACCCCTTCTTTCTTTATCACTTTAAGGCAGGTTGGATGGGGCTTGGAGCAGCCTGCTCTAGTGGAACGTGTCCCTGCCCACACCGCTCTGATTCTGTGATTAAAAGGGCTGGTGTTGGGTGGTGGGGAGCAGGGTCCTGCCCTGAGCGGTGCTGGAGCCAAGTCGTGCTTTGGTTCCCTCCAGTTTGAGGAGGATGCTCTGAACTTGGAAGGGGTTTTCTCTGAACCCATTCCAGTGATGCTCCTCAGGGCTCCTGCTCTGCGGACGAAGCTTGGGCTGCAGCTCCTACCCCATCATTTATTCACTAAGCTTCATGCTTTGGGGAGATGTGTTTATATCAGCACTGCTGCAGAAATGACTTGATACCTACATGTGTACATACAGATACATAAACACTGACTGCACTTAACCCAGCAAACTGCTTGAAAATCGCTTCCCCACAGAAATCCTGCCAATATTCCTGCAGCATAAACGTTACCCAGCCTCGCAGTGCTGAGGCTCAGCTTGAGCATGGTGCAGGCTGTAGCCATGGCTCTGCTGGTGGAGGGGATGTGTCCGTGTCCTGTCCCTGCCGTGGGTACCACGGGCATGTCCATGTCCCCATCCCCACCATGGGCACTGGGGATGTGTCTGTGTCCCCACCATGGGCAGCGATCCCATCCCTCCAGCCGCTCTGTGGTAGACTTTTGACCGGGGTTAAAGGTGACATGGGAAGGATGGAGCAATCCTCATCAGTGTGAATTACCTCCTGTGCAATTGTCTTCTCCAGTGAGGGCAGGCAGCTCGCTGCGTGGCTTGTTGCTACAGGTTCATTTTCTGCTGCTGAGCTGAGCGTGTTCACCGAGCTGCTCTGGGCTGCCCCAAAGCAGCTTCCACATGCACCGTGTTGCTTGACCTGCAGTCCCAATTAGCAGCAAAGCTTCTCATTAGCCTCATGCTTTCCTGTCACATCCCTGCAACCATCTTGGGCCCTTTGCAGCGCAGGGTGTGCTGCTGTGGGATGGACCTGAAAGCACCAAGAGCTGCGGGATGGCCGCTTTCAGGGCATTGGAGCCCATTGCTCCTCGGAGGGTTGAAGGGATTTCTCCCGCTAACAAACACCAGCAGCTCGGTGATGCTCCCCACCTCGGCGCTGGTCTCTGAGCTGCGCTCTACACACATTCCTGCTTGTAGGAACGAGAAAATGGCTGGTTTGAGCGGGGAAGGCGCTGCCTGAGCCCTGCACACAGGCACCCAAGGGAGGAAAATTGAACTGTCACAGTCTCCAAAGGGCAGGCAGCAGGAACTCGGGATAAAAATGCCTCAGGCAGAAAATGAGCTTTATAGTGTTTGGCCGGCTTCAGAAGGAGTGACAGATGCTTAATCAGCTTATTTGCTCTAAGTGTCTGTCTCTCGTCTTCCCTCCCCTTCCCGAGATGGGATGCTGCCAGCAGCGTGGCGTGGGGGGGTACCGAGGCCTTGCTTCCCAAGGTGCACCCCTGCTTGGGTGCGTGGGGATATTTAGGCATCAAACTTTGTTTCCTGGCGGTCCCCTTGGCAAGGGGCAGGGAGCGGGGCTGCTCCACTGCAGCCAGGCTTGGTCCGGAGCTTGGACTCTCAGCAATAGAATGGAGGTTTCTGTTGTCTGTCCCAGAGCTCACCTGGGAATTGGTGTCTGGTTTGAGAGATGCTATCGGTGCCGTGCTGGGATTGAATGGCTCTGGCCAGGGAGGGTCGGGAGCTGCCCTGCCAAGCACAAAAAGAGCCGTTCTTCTTCGTGAGCCGATTATTCCTTCCCCCCGTGTCTCCATAAGGACCTTAAAGCGAGGGAGGAGAAGCTGTCAGACTGCTGCTGCTGTGCACCAGCACCCTCGTTTATGCCTTTATCTGCAGGTGGGAAGTGACACCGAGTGCCTCGAGACCGAGGTGTCATTCCTTGCATGTGGCTTCAGCCGTGGCTGGCACCAGCTCGCTGGGGATGGTGGCGGCTTTGTGCTGAGCTCAGCTCCTTGGGGGTTATTTCAGCCCCTTCTTGTCCACAACAGACCAAGCTGCTGCTGCTCCCCAAGGCCATTCCAGGAGCAGGACATCACCATGCATCATCTCCAGAACTCAGGTCAACATCATGGTTGGTCTGAGGGCTGTTACCTGCTGTCTCAACCAGCCACTGACCAGATATGGCAAATATAACCATAACTATAACCATAATTTGCTGGTTTGGGGCATTCATTTGTCTCTTACAGTGAGGCACCTGCAAAAGGCATCTTATGCTGGGGCACTGCAGAGCCACCACCTTATTCACCCTCTACCTTGTGGCTTTCAAAACACAACCTTGGCCTTCCTCAGTTGAGCTGTGGGATGAAGGGAGGATACCTGGGGCATCTTCCCTGACTGCTGCATCCGGATAGTGCCAATGGCACCTTCTGGAGCTGCAGTGGGGGGGAAGAGCATTGTGGAGTGTTTGCCCTTGGTGAGGGGTGAAGGTGCCTCCAATCACCCTGGCAAAGGGCATGGCTCGAAGCGGCAGCATGGGTCATTGTGTTCAGCTGACGTCCTGGCTGCGCTCAGCAGCTCTTATCATGGTGTTTGCTTTAGCTTCAGGCCACTTCTGCACTGCCCTGAACCTGCACTTCTGACTTACCCTGAATGAGAAGCACATTTGCCCTTCCAGCCTCTAGGTCCATTGCTTTTGTGCATTATTTTGTACAACACTGGGTTGGATGAGGCTTTGAGCAAGCTGCTCTAGTGCAAGCTGTCCCTGCCCATAGCAGGGGGTTGGAACTGGATGAGCTTTAAGGTCCCTTCCAAGCCAAACCAGTCGGTGATTATTTGCAGTACATGGGTGTATTCAGGCTTCTTGGTGTGAACCAACATCCTCTTGGATATCGATAACCTTGGGTTGAGTTGCTGCAAGGGCTCTGGGAGGGTTTGCTGCAGCATGGAGGTCAGTGTGGCAGCCCCAGGGGAGCTGCTCTGGCTGCCTCCTGCTCGTCTCCAGAATCCCTCATGATGTTCTTCTTTTTCCTTTAGACAATTATGGAGCAGTTCAATCCCAGCCTCAGGAATTTCATTTCTATGGGGAAGACCTATGAAAAAGCCTTAGCAAGTAAGTGAAACTGTGCTGCTGCTGTGTTTATTGCTGGAATGCTGGGGGCTGCAAGGCTGGAAGGGAGGGAAGCTGGAAAACTCCCTTGGGATGTTCTTTGCTCTCAGCAGGAGTGAGAGGAGGAAGCTGGGGAGGTGGCTCTTGGTCCTCAATACAAAGCTCACATTGTTAGGATGTGCAGGACATGAATGTGCTGTGGTGCCACGGATGTGGAAAGGATTCAAGTGATAAAATGTCGAGTGAAGACTGGGTAACAAATACATCTCCAACCAGATTATCTTTAAATGTTACTTTAAATACTTAGAATTAAGATTTTAAGTTCTGTTTAAAGATGTGTTATTGGAATGTTCAAATTGCCCAGGCAAATGCATTGGAAAAGAAGGGAGAAAAGCCTAAGAGTATTGGTGGGAGCTCTTGATTACGAATACAGAGTCCTATTGGGAGTCACTGGGGAGGTGTAGATTGAAATACTCAAAAGTAAAATATGAATTGATGAAAACCAAAATTGGACTCATTTGACTTAAAATGACTTGGTATAGTGCCTGGGCCCTCCTCAGCTTGGTTTTAGGGAGGTTTAAAGCAGGTTTTGTTTGACACAGGGACAGCTGCTTGCTTTTGGGGATGCACTGCTCATCTCGGAGCTGCACTGCTCTTGGATCCTGGATTTTAGTTTTAATTGGCTCAGTGCAAATACCCCTTAGGGACGAGGCTGTCATCATCTGGAGCCAGTGGAAAGAAGTATTTTGATGTCTCATGTTTGCAATAGGAGCTTTGGGAAGGATCGGTGCCTTCCTGCTCTGTGCCTGGAGCAGGTTTTGATTCCCACAAGTCAAATGAGGCTCCTGGATGTTACGGTCAGAATCCTCTTCAGAAGCAGCCCTCCCGCTGGTCCCAGATTACAGGCACTCCCCTGCACGCTGCTTTCTTGCCAGTTCCCAGCATTGGTTTTAATGGATCAACTGGCCGTAACGTGGGAAGGGCCCGTCCATCCCGGTCCACTGCTCAGAGGCTGTGGACTCTGATCCCCAGGGATGGGGCACTTAATGCACCCTTGCAGCAGCAGCATTGCCCAGCTCTGTTAATGATGCTGACGCAGCAGGTCTGGTTTGGGTGTGCTCCTGCCTGCTGGGTGTGCAGGCAGGGGCTGAAGGGGAGTTGTTGCACTCAGGACCATGGTTTTTATGTGTCCTGAAATGTTGCACTGATAATGCAGCTATTCATGACCCGGGTGCTGGGGTCCATCGATGGAGCGCTGCGTTATCCCAGCCGAGCTCGGGCAGGTGCTAGCTGCAGCGTGCTGTGGGTAACCAGAGCCATCCCTTGTTTTGTTCCCCTCGCATCCGTGCTGTGAGTGCGCTTTGAAGCTCAAGCTCTTCCTGTAATTTCCAAGATTGTCTTTGCTCATCCATTACTTTGGATCTCCGAGCTTGTGGGGGCATCTGAAGGAAGCGTCTTAATGGGTAAATCACACTGGAAGAGGCTTCAGCACCTCATTTGACGGCATTGAGCTCAAGCTGTACAGCGTGTTCTGGTGATTAGAGGAAACCCCCTGCTTATCTGATTAAAGCGGAGAGTGGAGCTGGAATGTCAACAAACAAGACTGAACTATAATGAAAAGTCTGTGATATTCAATTATTGCACAGTGATTTTGTTCTGAGCGGCATTAAGCAGGTTGATGGTTACAGTGGAATGAAAACCACCCAGAGCCTGCACCTACCTTCCCCCCCATAGAGCCCTGTAAACTTGCTGCTCCAGCTTTCTTCTTTCTCCACTCATTTCTCTTGTGATGTAGTCCCTCCCTATGGGGTAAGCCCTTTGAAGTAATGTCTGTTTTAGTGTCTAGCATCTGTTTGGTGTCACAGAAGCTGTAATAGCCATTAAGGAGAATATAACCTGCATTTTTTGATGCTTTTAGGTATGACATATGCAGCAAAAGGATACTTTGATGCTCTGGTTAAGATGGGAGAGTTGGCCAGTGAAAGCCAAGGATCTAAAGAACTGGGTAAGTCACCAATTTACTGCTAAACGGAGCCACAGTCAGAGCAGGCTCCGAGCACAGGGATGGGACCAGATTTTTGCTGTTGAAGGGGATAGCGAGCTCAGTGCGGAGCTGATCGTGCCTCATGTGAATGGTAAAAGCGTCTCTGTATTTAATGTAGCTTAAAACAAAAAAAGCCTGCTATTCTTAGTGCAGGATTTTGGGGCACTGTCAGCTTGTGGTGTTTGCAAAGAGGAAGCGTTTGCAGAGAGCGGCTTTGCTGGCGTTTGTCTTGCTTTGCAAGGGAGAGGAAAGCACCAGCTCCTGCTGTGGGGTGGCACAGGGGACCGGGCAGGTCGGTGTCCTGGTCTTTGCCCAGTTGATCCCAGTTGCGACAGACATCACGAGCTGCGATGCTCGGTGCCTCCTTTCCCTTTCCTCCTCTGGTAAGTCCTTTGGGAGATGCTTTCCCAGTCTTCCCATTGCTCAGATGTGTCTCCTGTGTTCTCCCCCTCGCTGCTGTTCTGCTGTGTGGACATGGATCGAGGTGGCTCCTCTCCCAGCTCCTCCCAGGGATGCTGCGGTGTTTTCTAAGGCTCTGTGGGGCTCAGATGGGTTTTGGTCTTGTTGCCTTTGCAGCCCCAGGTCAGTTCCTCCTCCCAGTCCCTCCTGCAGGGCTGGCTCCCTTGGTTGCTGTCCTAGGAGCTGCAAACTGCTCATGGTGAGCTCTGAGTCAATCACTTAACAGAGGTGGAGCTGAACTGACTCTGATGGAGCAATGAGCAGCCCCTTGCAGGAGCCAGGGTTCGGTTTCCCCGTGCTGTGCTCCGTGTCAGGCACTGCTTCCCCCCGCCACAGCTCGCTGCCTGCGCCTGGCTTGTGATAGGGAAGCAGTAAGTGTCTATGGAAACCGATTCTAGCGCTCGGATTAGAGCTGCCTATAGCAATCTGCTTCTGTTTAATAAATAAACCAAGAGCCTTGTGTGCAATGCAGGCAGAGACCGAGATCGTCAGGGCTGCACAGACCTTGCCAAGGGCTTCTCATCCACCTCTTTGGGGTGAAAGAGGCAGCAGCAATGTCCTTCTGGATGTCAAAGCTTGGAAAACCTTGTCAGAGGTGGCTCAGCCATGGAGACCCCAAACCTGCCTCCCCTTCAGAGCAGCTCCAGGCTTTGCTCTCACTTAAAACCTGGCTTTGGTGTGTTCTGGTGGTCCTGGTTCCCCACCTGAGGATGGTGGCTTGGCAGCAGCCATCCTTAGTGCTCCCCCTCAGTCTCCTGATGTGCATTTGTTGTGTGGCTTGGGTATTCTGGGGTTGGTTTAAGTGTTCCCACTCCTGTGTGAGCGCATCCAAAGGGGGATCCTGGCAGCTCCTGCTCAGCTCAGAGCCGCGATGAGCGCCTGCTCCTCGGCCCTCTCGCTCTGTTGGTCCTGCTGGTATTTACTGTGGCAGCTGCTCCCTGCAGAGGAAAGTGGAGATAAGATTCCCGGCTGTGGTTTCGTGCAGCTGATAACCAGGGAGCAGCCCCCTCCTGGCCTGGGTAAACAGGGGCTGGGAAACGGCTGAGGTCAGGGCTCTGCTCGCCAAAGGTACCGCTCTTCCTGGGAACACCTTTACCTTATCGGTGCCTGCGCTGGGATTGCTGATAGCGCCGGAAAGGAGCGCTGGGCTCTGGGTTATTTCATCCCCTATGACAGGCAGCAGCAAAGGGTTGCCATTTGCATTGATGCTGTGCCCTTGCTGTTCTCTCCCTGTGGTGGTGGTTTCCTCTGTGGCAGGGAAAGCTGCTCCAAGGGCCCTGGGATGCTCTGGTTGGGACCACAGATAAGCTCTGTTTCCAGCCTCCATGGAAAAGAATCTGAGATGTTAGTTTCCCTCCATAACCCTTTCTTTTGTGAATGTGGGTGCTTTTCTGATGTCATTTCTGGGGCAGGAGGTGTCAAAAGGCATTAAAAACGCTGCAGATCACATGTGTAAAATGTGGTTTTAAGCAGCCACACCTTTTCCCTCCCTGTGCTGCAGTGATGCTGCCTGTGCTGGGGTGGCCACGGGGGCTCTGCACCCCCTGGGTGTCCCAGCACAGCCAAGGACCAGGAGCTCCAGGAGGGTTTGCAGCCCCCTGAGGAGGCTTCCCTATGCAGGGAGAGCTGCTGTGGCTCCCTGGGTGCTCCAACCCAGCCGTGTTTTCCTGCCATCATCTCTCCAGTCATACTTGTGACTCCAATGGATTGCTCTTCAAGCTGGGTGCTGGAGAACTGCCCGTCCCTGGCTGGGTGCTGCCGTGCCAGCTCTCCAGCACGGCGACCCAGGGTGGCTTGTTCTGCTTCATGCTGGCTTCTTTAAAACCATATTGCTCTGGTGCATTTATCTTGCTGAAAGCGCTGACCCTGGCTCCAGGCTCAGCTCCCTGCTCAGAGCTTCACATTTTGTGCATTCTCCATCAGATTTTCCATGTGTAGACAGGATAATCCCGGGTGGTCATGGAAAACCCAGCAATAATAAAGCTCTTGAGCTGTAATCGGCTCTGCAGCTTGAGTTTTGGGTGCAAGCGTCTGGTGGGGTCGTGCCTCTGTCTGAACCCCACTGCTGAGGTTTGGGATGCTCAAGCTCTTGGTTTCTAACTAAAGGGATGCTCTGATGGGTGTAGCTGCCATGGCCACACACAGAAGCTCGCCCTGAGACAGTTTCTCTGTGTAGTTCCTGTTCTGCTCTGAGGATGCTGACCAGGTTCTGGCACGTGGAGGACAGAGCCATGCTCACAGTTCCTCATGGAGGGAGGCTCCTTATGCTGCTCTTGGGTAGCTGCTGCAGTGACTCTGGGGAGGCTGGAGTGAGGAGCATGAGCACTGTGATCAGTGAGGGGTTGCTCCATTGATCTGGGCATACTGGTTTGCAGATGCTCCCAAGGAGCTCCAGTTCCACGTGCGTAGCTGCTGGGGTGACTTTGGCCGGTGTCTGGCTCCTGCTTGGGTCCCTTGGCTGCTGCTCACGAAGGTTGTTCCTTTTGTCCCACTTGAAAACTGGGCCATGGCAAAGTCACGGCAAGGGGGTTTCTCCTCCAGGGAAGCACGTGCCTGGGAGCGGAGCCGGAGGCACCGGGGTGCTGGGGCTCAGCAGCACCCATAGGGAGCTCCGTCAGGGCTGGAGGTGGATTTTGCTCAGCCACTGGTTTCCTCTGAGGTCCCTGGGAGTCAGTGCAGGCTGCTCTGACTAAGGCTCGGTGCTGTGAAAGGGCAGGACGTGCAGTCATTAGTCAACCATTGTTGAACTGTAATGAGGCTCTGGTAGATCCTGGCTCTCTTCTGACACATGATTTGCACAATAAAACTGGGACCAGTGGAACCTTTGTGGTCCTGGAGCTGTTTTGTCAGTGAAGGATGCTGGGCTTCAAGGGGTTTTAAACCATCTCCATACAGCTTTGAAACCACTGATGCGCATCAAAAAGGGATGCGGGGTAGAGCTGTTTGCACTGGTCACGCTGGGCACAGAAGGGGGGTCTGTGGCTGGAGCTGGGCACAGAGCCTGGTCCTGTCCATGATGCTGCTGTAGAGCATAGAATGGGCTTGCTGAGCGTGCACAAACACAAGGGAAAAGCCTCTTAAAAGCTGCTGCCTGTGTTGCCTTCTCACTGCCTCCACATCTGATTACAAGCAGACTGCCATAGCAGTGGGCTTGTTCTCACCAGCCTGTGCTTGGGAAAGCAATGGTGGAGGGTTGTGAAAGGAGCATCTGCGAGGAGCATGTTGCCTGGCTGGAGTTCCTGCCGGGTAGCAGCTGTGGGTAACGGTTGGGTTTCACCTCCAGTGGTGGCATCTTCCAGGGATGCCTCCCGGCTGCGTGCCCGGGACAAGCTCCTGCAGGATGCTCTTGGGAGGGAGGAGTGGCTATGTGTGTGTCCCAGGGCTGGTTTCTGCCATCCATCAGCAATGCTGTGAGCTTGGCAGGGGTTAGGAAGGGGCACAGCTTGTTGTGTGGCCAGCCCTGGGCCCTGGAGGTGTTTGCTTCCCCTCATGGGGCTGCTGCTGTGCAGGTGGATCGGTTCCCATGGGTCTGAGCCGGGTGGCTCCAGGCTGGTGAGGATGAGCTCTGTGCAGTTGTGCCCTCCTGTGCTCATTAATCCTGTGGTCTGTACATCCTGATCCGGGTGCAGGGGCTGTTCACATCCAGGGGTGGCTGTCGGGAGCCGCAGGGAACCGCAGGTCACCCAGGTCTCTGATCTGTCCCTGCTAAAGGTGTCAGTGGCAACTGCTCAGCCCGAGGGAGCCAATTACTGGGAATGTGACTCTGAACGTGCCCCAGTCAGGGTGCCTTGGGAAGCCGCCTGCTTCTTTCTTTGCCTTGTCTCTCAATAAGGACATAATGAACACAGGGGCTGTGAGCAGCGCACACCGCGGTAGTGCTGATGAGATGCTGATACCCTATCAGCAAACCGGTACCATCCTCTGGGGCTGCGCTGAGTGAAACCCTTCTGAAGAGGAAGCGAATGAATCAGCGGGGAGAAGCTGCTTGTTTCCCCACACTCGGCTCCTTCCCACTGCACACGCATGGATCGGCCCCCAGTGCCAGCACTGGTGTGTTCAGAGCCGCCTTGTTGGGATGAGGTGCTGGGATGGGGAGTGCTGCTCCCCGTGGCTGGAGGGCTTGTCCATGGCACGTGCTGGGACTGAGGTGCTTTAATGTGTGGGAAGAAGGTTGCAGAAGCCTTGAATCTGGCTTGATCAGGTCTGCAGCACGTGATGTGATGTGACGTGGGAGCAGCTCCTGCCTGTCTGTGTGCAGGATGGGGAGGCAGCGGTGTGGATGGGCCCGAGCTGTGACCGGGGTGAACGGCCCCACTTGCTGCTGGTGGAAAATGGGAGGTGGGAAACTGGGTGTGCGGGGTGCTGAAAGGGGAACTGGTAACTGCCGGCTGAGAGCAGAGCTCTGCTGTGTTCAGGGCTCACCCTGGAGAGGTGCTTTATTTACATGCACAAGGTTGGTGCTCTTCCCCCACACCAATGGAGCTCTCCTGCCCGGCAAGGTCTGGGAGGAGGGCACTGGGTGCCTGTGTCAGAGCGGTGACTGGTGCAGGGTGCTCCTGTCCCCTTCTCCAAGCACCCAGTGCTCTGCCTGCCCTGGGAACGTGCTGGCACATCCCTCCCCGGGTTCAAGCGGTTGCTCAGCATCAAAGGGTTCAGCTCACAGCATTTAACCAGCCATTGAAAAGCAGATTAATTTTTTTCCCTCTTGAGCTGCAGGAGCTCAAACAATTTGCCCTGTTACCGTCTGTTGGTTTTTCTCATTAAGGAGCTAATACTCCTTTTCTGGAGCTTGGTTCCTTCCTTGACAGCACCATCGCCTTTCCTGGCCTCCCTTAGAAACAAAGCCCAGCACAATGTGAAATAGTGGAGGAGCTGAGCCCCTGGGCTCCTTGTTTCATGCTCTGTGCTTGGGATCTGAATGTCCAAAGCAAGCGATCTGATGGTGAGCAGTGCTGGTGGTGCTGCATCCCTCACCTCGCAGGAGCAAGGAGCAGTGCCGGGGAGGCTGTGGTGCTGTTTTGCTTGTGTAAGCATCACCGGTGCTGGTGGCTTTGCCAGGGAGTTGGTCCCCTGGCCACCGGTTCCACTGCCCTTGCAGGACAGGCTGGGCTGCTTCAGCCCTGTGCAAGCATCAGCATGTTCCGGCTCAGAGCAGTTTGGCTCTGCTGGTGCACTGTTTGGTGTTTCTATTCAAAATAGCTGCTATCTAGATCGAGAGTGGGGGGGGAATCTTGAGGCTCTGAGAAGTCAAAGCAAAACCCGGTGAGATGGGTTCCTGCTGCTCTGCCTTCTGGAGGGGCAGCTGGCTCCTGCGTGGTGCCAATAGCGATGGGAGGGATGTGGAACAACCTGTTTGCCCGTGCCTGGGTGTGGTAGGGAAGGGCCCACAATAGCCCCTACAGTTCTCCCAGGGCGATACTGTGAGTCAGACGTAAATAGCAGCTCCTCCTTCCCTGTGTGCTTGGCAGCCTGTGGGGAAGATGTGTGAGCCGGGTAAGGGCAGGTGAAACCCTGGCTCTGGTGTCCACCCTTCCTCATCCTTACTTTTGCCTCTGGGCTTAGGTGAGACGTTAACCTTGGGTTTCTTGACCTATAGGATGTGCATTTTGGCTGTGAGGCTGGTACGGGGCTCACACCCCGTGTACAACGCACACTGTGACCCAAGCCTTTGCTCTGTTCTCTGCTCTGCTGCAGTGTGTAATCACTATGTTTAACTTACAAATACCACTGGTGGGTGATGCAGAGTGCCCATGGTGTGGGTGACTGTGCTGCTGCTGCGGGGGTGTGCGCCGTGGTCCTGGCCCTGCCATCAAGCTCTGCCAACACCACACGGTACCTGCTGTCACCGTGATGCCACAGATCCTCCTCTGAGCTGGGGTTGGATTTAAGCCTCCAGCTCCTGTGCTATCTGTTAGTCACAGTTTAACTTGTGCCCTGCTGCACGCTGGGTTAGTCACAGAGGTTTTGGGGTGAAACGTCAATGTCTGACAACGTCTGTAGCTTCTCTGCAGTGCTGTGGGGCATGGGGGTGTCGGAGGTGTGAATTCACACAGCACCACAGCTACGGTTTGGGGCACTTAGCTCCAATCCTGCGGCTCCACATGGGCAGAGCACGGGGAGCCGGGGGCGATCCCGATGGAGCCGGCTGGCTCTCTCAGCCCGGAGAGGCTCCTGTGCTCGCAGGCAGGTATCCATCCATCCATCCATCCATCCATCCATCCATCCATCCATCCATCCATCCCGCCGGCTGCAGTGCCGCGCTCACCTGGAGCTGCTCTCCGGTGATGATGGTAGAGCAAACCAGCTGCGGGGGGCACGGCAGCATCCCCTCGCCCAGCCTGGGACAGGGAGCAGTTCGTGGTGCTGGGTTGGGGGGGGAAAGCTCCGCACCGCTGCTGGCTTTGATGTGGGGCTGAAATGCCCCGTGCTCACCGTGATAAGAGCCACGGGGGTGGTGATGGAGGAGAAAGTCTAAACAAAGATGAGTATCTGTTGACACACCACGCACCTCCCTGGCTGCTGGGAACAGCTGAATTCCCTGGGTGAGGAATGCGGTGGGGGCAGAGCCCTGCTCTGGTGCAGGAGGCTGGGTCTGGGATAGGTCGGTCACTGCTGAGCACCCTGGTCCCTGCTCCCCGGTGGGTTGAGAGCTCAGAATCCTCTCATCCAGCTCTGCACCGGCTTTCCCAGCTGGGGTTTCCACTCCGGCCAAACGGGAAGCGAAAGGGAGAGGGGGTGGTGTGAGCCTGGGGAATAACAACCCAGCCACCCTTGCCTTGATAGACTTGAAACCGGAATCTCAGCCAAGCGCCGGCGTTGCGTCACCGCCTCCTTGCAGGGGGAATTCGGGCACTTCCCATCATTGAGCCGTCGCAGCCCCACCGGAGAGCGGCTTCCTGGCGGTGCGGCGGTGGTGACCCCCAGCCCGGCCCCCCTATCCCGGTGTGTGCAGATCCTCACCACAGCCTCCGCTTCAGCAGCGCCGGCAGCAGTCACAGCAGGTCTGCGGCTCTGTGCTGCTGGTGAGGGAGCAGAGCTGCGGCCGTGCCTGGGCACCTCTTGCTTTGGGGAGCCAGGGAATGGTTTGGGTTGAAGGGGCCTTAAAGCTCATCCAGCCATGGGCAGGGACCCCTTCCACTGGAGCAGCTTGCTCCAAGCCCCTGTGTCCAACCTGGCCTTGAGCACTGCCAGGGATGGGGCAGCCACAGCTTCTCTGGGCACCCTGTGCCAGCGCCTCAGCACCCTCACAGGGAAGAGCTTCTGCCTTGTGTCTTTGTGCATTGCTGGGCACAGGGTGGCCATGGTGAGAGTCAGCGCTGGCTGAGCTCCTGCCAGTGCCACAACCGGTTCTGTGACTGCATCAGAGGGGACTGGTGCCTGCCAAGGACAAAAAGGGATCAGGTTTTAATGTTTGCAGAAGGTTTTGACACATGATGCACGGTGCAAAGTACGAGCTGCTCCAGTCGCAAGAGCAAAGAAACATCGGGCCAGGTTGTTCCTGATCAGCCGGGGGTGTTGACACTAGGGTGATGCATGGCCAGTGTGTGCCAGGGATGGAGCGACCTTGCCCAGTGTCCACCATCTGGTTTTGGGCTGACTGAGGGTCCCAGTGGCTCCTTTGCAGCGGGTGCTGAGACAGGAGCGGCTCAGACACAGCTCATGGCTTTCAGTTCACAGCCAGCTCCACACAGGCTGGGATGGGAGCATCCACCAGGGCACTTAGAGCTGAGGGAGCTCGGCTCTTCCCCATAGCTCGCTGTGGGCTGGGGATGGTGCCTTCAGCCGTGCAGCAGCGCTGGCTCCATTCCCGCAGCTCCTGCGTGTGCCTGGCTCCAGCCACGGGGTTTTGGCTGAGGCTGGACCCTGCCCTTCCTCCCCGGAAGAGCGCACTGGGGCTGTGCGTGCATCGCTGCCGCGCTGGACCAGCAGAATGGAAGGAAGAGGCGAGGCAGAGCCGGGATCCCTCGGCTCTTTGTGGGGCTGGGCCTCGGCTCTGCCCTCCCCGCACGGCTACGCCCCGAGGTCGAGCAGGGCCGGTGGCTTTGAGGCAAATACCAACAGAGTTCTGTTTGCAGCTCCGTGCCCCGTGACCTGGAGCGGGTCCCAGCGCTGCCCATCAGCTGCTCAGGGCGAGGGATGTGGGTGCTCCATGCGTGGCCTGGGGCTGTGAGCACAGCCAGGGAGCAGCAGGCGCAGCTCCCTTCTCTAAGGGTGCTGTTTAAGTTCCCATCTGTTGTCAGTGCAGCATCTCTTGTCCCTGTTGATCCTTTCTATAGCCGGACAGTCAGGTCTAGATGAGGGTCCTGTCTTGGAATCGTTGTCTCTGGCTCCTCGGTCACATCTAAGGGCTGGCTTGGGTAAAGGTGACCGAAGCTGGGGTGGCCAATGGGACAATGGGTCATGGGCACCCCTGGGTGCTGGGGTCCCACTGCTGCTTGTCCATGTTTCCCTTCATGCTACACAAGGTCTGTGTGTGTGTGAAAGTGTCTCAGATGAATATCTCACCTGCAGCTCCCCAAAGATGGGCACTGGGGGTACTCCAGGAGCACCCATGGCTTCATCCGCAGTCCCCTCCATCTGCCCCATCCCAGGGGTGTCCCCTAGAGCTTGGTGCCTCAACCCCCCCTCCCTGCATCTTGTCTTTGCAGGAGATGTGCTCTTCCAGATGGCAGAGGTCCACCGGCAGATCCAGAACCAGCTGGAGGAGATGGTGAGTCGGGGTGGCCAGGGTTTCCTCATGGCCATGGGCTCTGCTGGTGCTGCAGCCAGGCCAAACGGGTTTCACTTCTTGCCCTGGTGACACCCGCTCCCCTGCGTGCCCGGTGCTCCCCGGGCAGGGTTTGTCAGCCCTCCCCAAGGAACCGTGTCTTCTCTTTCTGCCTGCAGCTCAAGTCCTTCCACAACGAGCTCCTGACGCAGCTGGAGCAGAAGGTGGAGCTGGACTCCCGCTACCTGAGTGTGAGTTATGGGCTTGCGTAGCCTGGCATTGGCTTGGGCATCTCCGTGTCTCCCCTTCCTGCTGCCCAGCTCCCCACCCAAGGATGGTTGTGCCCAGACATTGCTCATGTCCCTGGTTGCTGGTGGTCTCTAACCACACACATCACCACGCACGGAACAGCATTTCCCTCCATGTCAGACTGTTCAAGTCCCTGTTTGCTGTCCGGGCCATGGGGAACCTGCTTCTCCCAAAGGCTGGGGGGGTCCTGCTTGCTTCTGCCACCCCTTGGCAGCAGGAGCTGCGGCTGAGGTTTGGCTTCAGCTGCTCAGAGCTTTCTCCTGTCCCATCCAGGCTGCGCTGAAAAAATACCAGACAGAGCAAAGGAGCAAAGGGGACTCACTGGACAAGTGCCAGGCAGAGCTGAAGAAGCTTCGGAAGAAGAGCCAAGGCAGCAAAAACCCCCAGAAGTACTCGGACAAGGAGCTGCAGGTAGGACTGGGGACACGGGAGGAACACGAGCATCCTTGAGCTGGGCAGTGGGTGCTGGGTACCACACGCTAGAGGTGGCCAGGTTCTTACAGGCATTCAGATGCAGGCTCACTGTTCTCTCCAGAGGAGCGGGGGCAGCAGCATTAGGAGTGTGGTGGGATGTGGGAGGTGTGGATAGGGAGGAGGTGGCAGCCCGTGATGGAGCACGTTGGTCTCGTGGCTGCCCTTGGGGAGGACGGAGCAGGGGGAGGCTGACGGCAGATGTTGTGCTGGGTGATGCGGTGGTGATGAACCTGCTGGATCCGGTGCTCTTTAGTGAATGAACCCCACAAGATCACCAGTTCCTGCTGTGCCAGATCCACCTTCCTCTGGGTGGCGTTTGCTTCAGCGTGTGCCGGGGCGGCCGCAGTGAATCACCACGGTGTGATCACGGTGTGGGCTCCCGCACCGACCACGTGCACCGGTGGCTGATCAGGTTGTGGCTGTGCGGGACAAGGATCCCTCGTGGCACGTGCCTGGGTGGCTGTGCTGCAGGGTGGGTGTGTTTCGGAGATTGGGTGTTGGGATTTCCTGCATGGATGGAGTTGGGGTCGGGATATTGATGGAGAGCATCCAAGGGCACATCCCTGGCTGGTGCCGGAGCCAGGAGCAGCAGTGCCAAGGCACTGCAGCACTCAGGTTACTGATGTGTTCACAGCAGGAGTTTGTATTCTGAGGTCTCCAACCTTTAGTTCGAGCTTCGTGTGGAATATGGGAACCTTAAATAATGGATGCACCTACGTGCAAACCCGCTCTGTCTGAAAGCACGGCTGCTGCTGGTGGAGTCAAAGCCACTGAATGATTGCAGCATGAACAGGACCTTGGAAAGGGGACGATGAACCCTGAAGGCAGAAATCCCTACCCCTGTCTGAGGCATGAGAGCATGCACTGTGCTGGGACCAGGACCTGTTACATTGGCTGCCACAGGCTGGGAACGTGTCAGTGATCCGTGCCTGCTGAAGGGGCTCTAAATGTCGGTGGCACTTTGGGGGCTGTGCACGGGGTGGCATTTAAAGCCATCAGCAGATAGCTACCACAAAGGCTGTGCTGGGGAAGTGGCATTAACTGCACTAGAACTTGGGGAATCATTGTCTTGGTAGCGTGAATCAGAGCGAGCACTGGAGAACAACGCAGCCACCGCCACCCGCCCCGGTGTGCAGCTCCCGTGGTGAGGCACCGTGCATGGCGTGGAGCTCGTGGTTGTTCACAGCACCGGTGATGCACTGGGCTGCACTGGGCAGGAGGTGCTGGTGTGCACAGGTTGGTGCTGGGCAGCTCCAACCGCTCCTGAGCAGCAGCATCTCCAGCAGCCCTTGCTCTGGGTCCCTGCTGAGCAGGGGAAGCCCTGCGAGGCGCAGCGTGGGGAGCGCGGGGATCAGACCCTCCTCATCCCCAAACTGTGAAAGCTGCTGGTAGGGCCAACAGAGCAGAGCCGCTGCCAGAGCCACCCCTCTCCTGCCACCCCCCCCCGGGCTGCTGCAGTGCCGGGATCCCCAACCCACACCCGGAGTCGGAGGAGGAGAAAATCCATCCCAGTGATGGGCTTTATACGGTGGGAGAGGAGCGGTGGCTTGATCCTCCCACTGGGATGCGGTGGGGATGGGGTAGGCCTGTTAGCACAGGAGCTTTGGGCAGGGAAACAGGATCAGGCTTTCATTCTCTTAATCTTTCAGCAGTAAGTATTTAGGAAGCGCTTATCTCTCAAAAAGCATTATGATGGCTTTTGAGCTTAAAGAGCTATGAGACTGCTCAACTGCTCGCTGCTTTTTTTTCCCAACCTAGATCAAAACACGAAGTTAAATTGCTGAATTCAGCTAAGGGAGCAGTTTTCCCTCTCTTTGCTGCTGCTGCAGTGCTGGTATTCCCTTTCAACAGGAAAAGAGGTGACTTGGGGCCACCCTTGATGCTGTTGTTACCTTTACCAGGGTGTCAGAGTAGGGTATTGCTGCAAGGATGGGTCCAGCCTGGAGCTACCTCGGGAGCCTCATTGCGAGGCTTAGTGAAACCAGGCTTAGTGAACCGGGACACCTGGAGGGGCTTTGCCCCACAGAATCCTTTCTCCTGGGGCTCAGTTTGCTTAGCTGGCCCTGCAGCCTCCAAGCAGGCTGCTGGAGGCACCTGGTGATGCTTGCAGGAAGCTGAAGACTTCATCAGGCTGGTGCCTGGGGACCACAGACTGATGAGCAGCAACGGGATGCAGCTCTCCTAATGGGCTGTTGCAGATGACTTGTGTCGTAATGGGGGAAGCTGCTGTGGATGGAAGCGTCCTGGTAGCTGCATCAGTCATCATCTTGCAGGAGGCAATAACATCTTACTCTGCTTTGGAGACTCATCCACTTAAGCTCCTGTAGCAGGCGGCAGCCGGGAGTCTGATGCTCTGTCATCATCCCTCTCTGTATTTAATGGTGCAGGAAGCAGAGCTGCTCCTTTCTGCCTTCTCACCACTTGTTCAGTGACCGCATCTTGTCATCGCCTGTGAGATGAGCGTGGTGGGAGAGGCAGAGCTGCCCAGAGCTCCAGGATGTGGTTTCTGTAACATCCCCTCACTGCTGAGGTGAGAGGTTTGTTCCGGCTCTGGTTTGCTGGGGGGCAGAGGACAGCCCTCACCGGAGCCGGGTACCACTGTGGTTTGTCTCCATGCTCTGCTAGAGTGATCAGAAAACCCAGCAAATCAGCCCAAACCTCTCACCTGTGACTCCTCAGTTTAGATTATCCCTCTTGGTAAAGCAGAAATAACTGCTGCACATAACTGATGCTCTTGTGGCTGGTGGGCAGTGGCTTTGGGAACACAGGGGTTGAGGTCTGCTTGGGATCAGGCAGCAACCTGATGCTCATGGACGCTTGCAGGAGGCATCTCTTGAGCTGCATCAGTCACTTGTTGCATGGTGAGAGCTGATCCAGGTTTGTCTGCAGGTCTGGCATCATCTCGCCACTGTCTCTTGTGCTCGTTTTGTGGAGTTTAATAGGTGAGGATGGGATTAAAATGGTTGGGGATGTAAAACACCTTGTGGTTTGCTGTAAAGACAGCTCACGTAGCTTGAAAGCAGCTCAGAGTGCAATTAGGCTGCAGGAGTGATTTTCCATCTCCAAAGCTTTGTCTGTCATGGTCAAAAGAGATGCTGTGGTTGTGGGTTGTTAGTGCTGAATGTCACAATAAAGCTGGGCTTTTTGTTCCTTATGAATCAGTCCTGAGCTTTTGTTAAGCACGAGGAATGAAAGCTGAGGCACCGAACTGCCTCCAGTGTCTCATCTAGTTATGTAGTTACTGAGGGGTTTTTTGACCTGTGTTGGGAACTGGGAGAATAAACTAATGCCATTCACTTCATGTCCTTTATGGAGAAGAGTAAAAACAATATTCAGGTGAAACAATCACCAAGGAAGCTAAACTGCTGTAATTTCATTGAACGCTGCTTGTGATCAAGCTGTGAAATCAAGGTCACGATGGGTTTAGGACCTTGATTGAATCAGCAGCTCAACAATGAAGTTACGTTGGTTAAAATCATATTAGCTCTATGAACAATTGGATTTCTCCATCAGCCTGAGACGAAGCTGCTGTAATTCATCCTAAAGAGCAAAGCTGGAGGTGGCTGTTTGTGGTGACAGGCTGTGCCTGACCCGGGCAAAAGGGTTTTTGGCACATCCATGCCGGTTGAGGAGCTGCATTGGTAACTCTGGGGGGGCAGAGGGAGCTCCCTCTTCTCCCCAGCCCTGCACAACCTGGGGCATGGGTTGTGGACACTGAGCTCAGCTCCTGCTGGGTTTGTCTTTGTCCACACCTATTCCTATGAGAGTGTTTTAAGCATTAAATACCCCTGTGCCAAATAACTTGGGGGGGGGGGGGTTATAGGCTTTTGTAATTGAAACCTCGTTTGAGATTCCCATCAGGAGAAATAATTTTAGGTAGAGGTCAAGCAGCTCTAACTGATAAGGAGTTTGCACAAACCAGGTTATGAGGGCTTATGTGAAAGTTAAATAGGGGAGAACTATGTAAAAGCTCGGTGGCTCCAGGTAGCTCTACATTAGGATGTGTGTCCAGACCCAGCAAATGCAGTGAGGGTTGCAGGGAGGGCAAATCTTAAACATACCTGGACTGAAGTGCCTCAAATGCCTCTTCTTGAAGCTCGTCTGTGGGTCCCTGTGCAGGTCAGGGCCATGTCTGAGGAGCATTCTGGTACCCAGCCTTGTGCATCGCTGATGAGGGTGTCCCTGGATTGAGGAACAGTTTAAGCAGCTGATCCTGAAACCCCCGCAGAGCGGCTGGGAGAGCGCTTGCCTGCTGTTTTGCTCTGTTTTATGTAATATCACATGTGTGCGTGGATGGCATTTTGCAGGAACGGTGCAGGAAGGCTCGGGCTGATGCCCTGATGAGCAGATGTGTGAGACAGGCAGCGTAATGAGGGGAGACAGCCCTTCCCAGGGGAGCAAAGGCAGGCTGGCATCTTTGGAGCAGGGCAGTGCTCCCTGGGAGCTGCTCTGAGTCTGGTTTCACCTCTGATACCCATCAGTGCAGCAGCATCCGCAGCATCCCGGGGAGGGGCTTGGCTGCAGGGTGATGGAGCCGGGGCAGCCCAGGCTGGTGGGTACCACGGTGCTGGCACTGAAAGACCTCCCCCTGTCTGGAGATGTCGGTTGGGTCTGGTGCTTTATTTGCCTTACTACTATGGCGGTTTGGTCTCCTTCCCAGCTGTGCTCTGCTGGGAAGAGCCACTGATACCCCAGGGCTTGAATCCATCACTGGATATCACTGTGTCCAGCTAAACAAACTGACCAACTTCCCTCTCCATCTGTAACACACTGGGGTGATGAGGGAGGCTGGAGGGAGCAAGGAGGGAATGGCATCTCCCCTGAGGCTGCTCCGGGGTCCACCAGCTTCCATGCAAGGAGTGAATTCTGGGAATAGGGAGAAGCTGCATCCTTCCCCAGGAGCCCCTGGAGCTGAGGATCCCCCCCGCTTTGTGTCTTCCTCACTTTGGCTCTATGCTGTGATAGAGTTTCAGCTGTTTTTCCTGGAGAGACTACTCAACAGCTTAGATGCTCTCCCTCTGTTAATCAGCCTAACTTCTTTCTTATTTTATCCCAGGACTTTCCAGTTATTCTCCCTTGTAGCTCCTTAAATAAATCCTCCCTTCTCTTGGTGTTTACTCCTTGCAGCTATCCCAGCCTGCCACAATGGTCCAGCACAGCCCACAGTCCTCTCCCTTCCCCTTTTTCCTTTGTCCCTCCGGGGAACCAGAGCTGTGTTTGGGGCTGCTACAGAGGCACGGTCCCCTTCCTGCTCTGCATCTCCCACCGTGTGATCCTGTGTTACTGCCTTTCTGGTCTCAAAACCCATTGCTTTGCTGGCTGGTGACCCCTGGAAGGTGGCTTTGCTCCCTGCTGCTGCTCCCCTCTTGTCCCTGTGGCTGGTCCTTCCCTCAGCCTGCATCACTGGCTGTGACAGGCATCTCATGGTTGGTAAATACATGTAAGGACCATTTCCACAGTTGCGTTCATGGTGATTGACAGTGCCCTTGGCTCCTGTTCCTGACTCGTTTGCACATTCCTGCCTCGGATAGAACAGTTTGAACTCATTTGTTTCCAGTAGGAAGGGTGGTTATTGAAGGCTTGACTGAAGCTCAGGGATGATGTTGCCGTTTCACCTGCACTAACTATGCCAATTGCCAAGTGTGCTTGAAAAGAACATGTCTCAGCTGTTTTCCAGTCCTCACACACCTTTAGCTGTCAGCTTTGGAGTGGTGGTGAGAGGATGTCACTGTAAGCAGCAGGGCCGTTGTGTGCCCTGGCTTTTCTGTGCTGGGGGCGACAGCTGCTGCTTGAGCTGGGGACTTGGCAGCATCTTCTTTCCTCTTTCATGTTTCCTTGTCCCTAATGTACTGTCTGACCCGTTAGGTAACATGATCTGCTTTCAGCGTGGACGTTGCCTGGCTATGGGGGGACTCAGCATGGCCAAGCTTTGCTCCAGCATCGCTCATCACCCCCAGCCATCAGCGCATCCCTGGCTGAGCCACCACCACCGGGGCTCCCTGAGTGCTGGGACCAGGCTCCTGCCTTGGGATTGCAGCTTCCCCAGGCCAGGCAGGAGCCATGGCTCTGCCTGCAGCAGATCCTGCATCTTAAACCAAGCCCCTTGCCCGGCGCTGCCGCACACTGACATTGCTAATTAGGTCAGCGGCTCCCGGTGCACTGGGAGTGCTGTGTTCGGGGGGGCACGGGGGAGTTATTTGAGGTTTCTCCAGCCTAGAAACCCAGAAAAAGGTTTCTGGAGCTGTTGGGTGGCTCTGGCACGTGCTCCGGCTTCTGGCACGGCCGTGACCACTGCGAGCACAGCCCCGGCTGGCTCCTGCCCCTCAAGTGCTCAGGACACAAATGGGGTTTCATTTCCTCCTTTAAAGTGGGGCTTTTATTTAGCTGAAACAAGATCTGTGTTTGAAGGTAGTTGTTAGACAGCATAAACCACGGTCTGAATTTAAAGGCAGTGCTTGAGCGGTACCTGCTTGTTGGTGAGGTCTTGGAGATGCTGCTGAGCCACGGAGCCTGAAGACAGCAGCAGGGAGGCACCTTCCTTACGCTGCTTGTCAGGTCGTGCCAAGCTGAGAAATGTGGGGGTTTGGGGGTTCAAAATGCAGGGTGGATCCAGATCACCCCCATAGCAGGGGGAAAGGAGACCTGAGCAGCAGCACTGAGCCCAATGGGCACCAGCCTGCAGGTAAAGCCCTGCTTGCTGGTTAAAGGCAGTGCTTCCCCTTAGCATAGTGAGATCTTACACCGCACTCTGCGTGTTGCGTTTTTCCCTGTGCATCTGGCTTATTTAGCCAGGTTTTGATTTCAGTTGCCTTTCTGTGCATTATTTGAGAGCCCACTGTCATTTTGAGCAGATCCAAAATGAAAGCTGTCTCGTGAGCGAGGAGTGTGGCTCGCCATTTTGTACTGTAATAACGTGTAAACCAGGCTTGAATAAATCAATGGCACATCAAGCATATTTCCATAAAGTATATAAAGTGCTGAGAATCCTAAGTTTAGAGCACAGGCTCTCTGCTTGCAGTCGACATGTTCTAACTGGCTGCAGCCATTAAGACAAGCTTTTCTGTAGTGAAAGAATTAAGAGTATACTTACAAAACAAGGATTAAATTAGGGATGTAAATAAGGCTTAAATTTGCATATGTAAATCACGATTAAAAACCTAACATTGCTAAGATGAAGAAGAATTTCCCCTGGGTTGCAGTGTATGATGTGCTCAGGACAAGAGCCGAGCCTTGCCCACCCCCTGTACCCGGGCCATTGCTGCTCCTGAATCACGGTGCTATGGTCCTTGTGCTGCTGAGCTCAATTAGCTGGAGGTGGACTCATTTCGTTCTTGATGGCCCACTTAGGAAATGAAGCAAGATGAGTTTGGGGTGCCCAGGTCCGCATTGCTCCAGCGCTCCTGTTTCAGGTGCTGTCAGGGTTGCGCTTTCCTTCACGAAACTGGGCTCTGCAGGATGGGGAGCATCATCCCACCACTTCCCTCTGGAGAGAAGGGAAGGGGACTTCTTCAGGAACCACCTGTAGTGCAGGCATGTGGGGACAGTGGGGTTCGGTCCATCCCAGGCATACCGAACTGTGATGGAGGGGTTGGGGCACTGGACCTGGGGGGAGCTGCAACTCTCTGGGCTGGCGCTGGAGCATCTTCATCTTTCTCTCCTGGCTCCCATCACCACTGCTGACGCCTCTGGGCTCTGTCCTTGTACTATTCCTGGGGCTAATAATACCCGGGAGGAGGCGGTGTGCTGGGTCCTGAGCCCACTCCAGGGAATGATGCTTTCCCTGCTTACAGCCTCCCACAGCCGCCTGCTCCCACCCGCCAGCATGTGCCCGGGGCTGCTGCTGCCTCTTCCCCGCACCATGCTGGTCCTGCTGCCTTTCCCAGTGCCCTCCCCTGTGTCCCTCCCAGTCCCCATCCAGCTGCAGCTTCACCTGGGGGTGATGCAAATACCTCCATTATTTCAGCTTCTGCACCCAGTGCCGCCAGCTCAGTCACCTTCATTTATTTCTGTTCCTGAATGCAGGTGTTTGCACTGGATTTTTTCATTTGGGGAAAAAAAAATTACTCCTTGAAACAGGAGTTTTTACCCATTTCTCAGTTCCCCCCTTTTCGCCACCCGTGTTGGTGAATGTGGGGAGAGCCAAAACCCGCTGGGTGCAGCACAACTTCTACATGGGGTTTGCTCTCGGGAGGATGCTCTGAGCAGGGTTGGAGCAGCAGAAGGTCCAGCTCTGAAATAAAGCCCCCTTTGAATTCTGGGATGTCATTTAATCTCACTGCTTTTGTTGAGGTTTGTTCCAGTTTATGTGCCTGCTAATAAATATTGTAACGTGCTAAAAATAACTGTTAAACATGAAGCTAAAGCTGCTTTGGACCCTGAATTTCCAGTTAATTCCTTTCTCGGAGAAGCTCAGACTTCCTGAAGCAGGTTTAGCACTGCCTGGGCTCTCTGGTTGGTTGTGGCTTCTCAGTGTGGTGATGCTGTCCTGGGGAAGAGCTGGTGGCAGGGGATGCTGGAGTGCAGGACAGCGATGAGTGAGGGAGATGCTCCTCTTAGAGGCTTGGCCACTGCTCTCACAGTGCCACAAGGGTGGAAGCTCCTTGCAGAGGAGCTGGGTGCATCCCAAGAGAGCTGAAGGAGGAGAAAGAGGCTGGGTCAGGGAACAGGGGACATTTCATGCCCTCTGTGCTCAGGTGGTGGGGCTGAGCAGCGGTCCCAGGCATTATTGCTGTGAAGCCCTCCCATGTGCCACGTTTGCATCGCATGGATGAGCCTCTGTGGCTGAGTTATCCCAGCCCCGTGTGCTGCCTCCATGCTCCATACGGTGCTGGCAAAGCCTCTGTGGCACAGCCGTGCTGGCGCAAGTCACATCAGTGACTGCATTGGCAGGGGCCCGGTGTCTGCACAGCCCCGGGGTGCAGCATCAAGGAACGGCTGCTCCGGTGGCCCTGTGCTGCCTGCGACCCGGCACGGTGATGCTGTGCCAGCAGGCAGCCCTGCCCTGGCACTGTGCTGGTGTCCCAGCCCCGCTCACCGTGTGCCTCAGTGGTCACAGTGCAGTGTTGGCGATGCTTGTGCTGGAGGGGCTCAGTGCTGTCCCCAGCTCTCGGCAGCACGATCCTGCCCATCCTCACAGGCACTGATGGGCAGCCGAGGAGGCGCTGGCGGTCGCGGTGCTCTGTGCCCTGCGGGGCTCTGGGGTCCGTTGGCAGCGCGGGTGATGCGGGCACCCCCCCAGCGCCGGTGCCAGCCCCCGGGCACGGCTCCGGGGCCCGCTTGGTGAGCAGGCGGCTGCTCCCGGTACAGCTCGTCCCAGCTCCCAGCCCACGGGCTGAGTCAGCGCCTCTGCGTGGGGGTTCTGGTGAGTAAAGGCGGGTTGGAGGCACACGTGTGCGTGTCCTGTGCGGGGGGGTCCTGCCAGCACCCTGCCAGCACCCTGCCTGCTGCGCTGCTGACCCCCCTCCGGGGATGCTGCCGCACTGGCACCGCTTCCAGCCCGTTCAAGGGGGCTGGAACTGGGTGAGCTTTAAAGCCCTTCCCAACCCCAACCATTCTGTGATCCCCTGCCCTGCCCACGGAGAGGCAAACTACCAAAATGATGAAGGCAGCCACCTCTCTGCTCCTCTTTCTGTTCCAGTACATTGAAGCCATCAGCAACAAGCAAGGTGAGCTGGAAAACTACGTCTCTGATGGCTATAAGACAGCTCTCACAGAAGAGAGGAGACGGTTCTGCTTCCTGGTGGAGAAACAGTGTGCAGTAGCCAAGAGTGCGATCACCTACCATGCCAAGGTGAGTCAGTCCCTCTGGAGATGCCAGTCTGATGCCGCGCTCCTGCAGTTGCAGGGCTGCAGGTCCCAGGTGGATGCTCCTGTTGCCTATGGAACAGGCTGATACCCTGAAAGCTGGTGCAGAGGGGAAGGAATACACCCGTGGGTGACCCACAGACAGGATGCCCTGGGAGATGCATGTTTTCTGGACTGGGAGATGCAGACTGCACCCTCCTCAGAACAAGGGGGCACATCTCCCATGGGTGCTGCTCTGCATCTCAAAAGGAGCTTCTGGCTGCAGGAGGTAGATGAGGCTGACACTGGTTTGCTTGAGTGGTGATGGCGGGTCCTGGCAGTGTATTGTGCCATTTGGCTCACCCCAACAGTCCAGTCCCTCTGTGACACAGCTTCACCTATGCAGGAGAAGCTGTGGTAGGTGAATGGGGCTGGGTTCACCCCTCCTGCATGTTGTGGTCACTGAGCTGTGAGGGCTCTGTCCTGGCAAAGGCCAGTCAGGCTTCTCCTGTCTGCTCATTGTCCCGAACAGATTGGAACTGAATGATCTTTAAAGTCATAGAATCATAGAAGAGTTCAGGTTGGAAAGGACCTTAAGATCATCCAGTTCCAACCCCCTGCCATGGGCAGGGACACCTCGCTCTAAGCCATATCACCCAAGGCCTTGTACAACCTGGCCTTGAGCACTGCCAGGGATGGAGCGTTCACAACCTCCTTGGGCAACCCATTCCAGTGCCTCACCACCCTAACAGGAAAGAATTTCCTCCTTAGATCCAATCTAAACTTCCCCTGTTTCAGTTTGAACCCAGTCCCTTCAAACCCAAACCAGTCTGTGATTCTATGACCTGTGAAAGCAGAAGAAATGCAAAGCAGCACCATTCCTGCTTGGAGTCAGGCAGTGCTGCCTGCTCAGCCTGCGCCTTACCCCCTGGCCTTACCAGGATGGGGATTAAACTGCTCCAAATCCCCTCCTGCCTGTTCCTGGCATCCCACATCTCGTGGGCCAGGGGCTGGAGCTGCTGCCAGATCTGCACTGATCCAGAGCAGAATCCGTGCGGATGAGGGCTGGGAACGCCAGCGCTGCTCCTGCAGCCTCATGCTCCCGTTGTTCTGGTTGTTCCCCACCGCCACCCCCCGTTGCTCACCGCATCCATCTGTCACCGCCGCGCTTGGCACCACGGAGCAGGAGTTTGGATTAGTCAGTGTGCTCCCCGCGCTGCGCTGTGCCGCGGGCTGGATGCGTGCTTGGTGTATGTGAACTCCTCCTGCGGAGCAGAGGGGGGACCGTCCCCCTTCGAATTGAGGCTTTGATCCATGGGGACCAAGTTATCCCCTTATGGGACCAGTTGAGAGGTCCATCAGAGGTGTCAGGTCAGCCTCTGCCCCAGGGGCTCAGCTGCACGGTGCCAGGGCCAGAGACTGTGAGAGATGAACAGCCCTAAACGAGAAGCTCATTCCCTGGGGTATGGGTGACAGCACAGGGCACAGGCTGAGCCCTGTTAGGCCTTCGGGCAGGTTTATGTCCCTGCTTGGTCCATTGATGCTGTTCCACGACATCCCAGTGGCTGAGAGCTGCCCCATGCGGGATACATCAGAATAAGCTGGGGAGATAAATCACCTTTTCCTTCCCTCCTTGCTATTTTTCATGCCGCCTTCCTGGCTCAGCTGCTGGCAGAGCCTGGAAGTGATAAGTCCCTGTTGTTATCGCACCCATGCCATGCACAGAGGAGCCATCAGTCTCATGGCCGGGATCAGGCCAGCTCCTGTGCCCTCACACCTCGTTTCTCTATTGCAGGGGAAGGAGATGCTGACGCAGAAGCTGCCGCTGTGGCAGCAGTCCTGCTCGGATCCCAACAAGATCCCGGACCGCGCTATCCAACTGATGCAGCAGATGGCTGCCAGCAGCAATGGCACCATTATGCCCAGCCCTCTGTCTACATCCAAATCCAACCTCATCATCTCTGACCCCATCCCTGGTGCCAAACCTCTCCCTGTCCCCCCGGAGCTGGCACCTTTTGTAGGAGTAAGTATCTCCGGGGTGGAAACTGTGCTGCCCTTCTGAGCAAAGCTGGAGGGACGAGCCCAGGCCAGTGTCACTGTTGTCCTCAGCAAGTTGCCTCTTGATGGACTGCCATTGATGGGCAGGGATGGGCAGCTCCATGCATGTGCTGCCCTGGGATGTGGGAAGGAGCCTGGCATGGGAATGGGCAGCCTGTCCCCATCCCATCCTGCTTTCAGAGGCGCAGGGGCTGCAGAGGCTCTTGGGGGGGAGCTGGGGAACCCATGAGCTGCACTCGCCTGGTCAGGGTGGTCCCAGAGCTGTGGGGCTCAACCGAGATACCCCAGTAACCACTGGGAGTGACCCATGGCAGGAAAAGGGTCCCCTATTGCGGAGGCATGAGCTGAGCCCAGGAGGGGTTTATCAGGTGCAGGTCAGCTTGGGGCAGTCAAACACCCCAGGGGTGACCCCACTGCTCCCCCAGAGCAGTTGGTCTCAGGTGGGAGCTCCATGCACCAGCCTGGGGCTCTGGTTGCTGTGAGCCCCCTGCCCTGGAGCTGTGTCCCGCTGCGGGAGCTGCGGTGGGATGCTCTAATGAAGCCATTCCCCATCTTCCCCCCCTCCTCTCCTCTCTCCGTAGCGCATGTCGGCGCAGGAGGCCATGCCGGTGATGAACGGAGTCTCAGGCGCAGACAGTGACGGGTACAACCACTGGTCTGAGATGAAGCCAGCACAGCCCAAATCTTTATCTCCTCCCCAGCCTCAGAAGCAGCTGAGTGACTCTTACTCCAACACACTCCCAGTTCGCAAAAACGTGCCACCGAAAAACAGCTACGCCTCAGGTGAGGCTCCATCCCTGCTCCGTGGGGATGCTGCTGGTGCTGGGCCAGAGACCGGCAGCATCCCTCCGGCACAGTGCTGCTTGTGCCTCTGGAGATGGGGGTTAGGAAATGAGCAGAGCTGGACTCTACTGAGGGTATTCCAGGAGGAAAACCTTGTGCAGGGAGCAACCATGGCTGGTGGGTGATGCCAAGAGCAGTGGCTTGATCACAGTATCCCAGTATCACAGTATGTTAGAGATGGGAAGGGACCTGAAAAGATCATCCAGTCCAATCCCCCTGCCGGAGCAGGAACACCTAGATAAGGTTACACAGGAACATGTCCAGGCGGGTTTTGAATGTCTCCAGAGAAGGAGACTCCACAACCTCCCTGGGCAGCCTGGTTCAGTGTTCTGTCACCTCACTGAGAAGAAGTTTAAGTGGAACCTCTTGTCTTCCAGTTTGTACCCATTGCCCCTTGTCCTATCATTGTTTGCCACGGAGAAGAGCCTGGCTCCATCCTCGGGACACTCCCCCTTTATATATTTATATACACTAATAAGGTCACCCCTCAATCTCCTCTTCTCCAAACTATAGAGACCCAGCTCCCTCAGTCTGTTCTCATAAGGGAGATGCTCCACTCCATTCATCATCTCCGTTGCCCTGCGCTGGACTCTCTCCAGCAGGTCCCTGTCCTTCTTAAACTGAGGGGCCCAGAACTGGACCCAATATTCCAGATGCGGTCTCACCAGGACAGAGTAGAGGGGAAGGAGGACCTCTCTCGACCTACTAACCACCCCCCTTCTAATACACCCCAGGATGCCATTGGCCTTCTTGGCCATAAGGGCACAGTGTCGGCTCATGGTCACCCTGTCACCCACTAGGACCCCCAGGTCCCTCTCCCCTACACTGCTCTCTAAGAGGTCGTTCCCCAACCTATACTGGATCCTGCCTGGGATGAGGGTGGGAAAGTGAAGGTTAAATTGGCACACGGGTAAGATAAGCAGGGTTAGGGACCTGTCTTGGCAGGGTTGTCCTGCCCCTGGTCCCACTGGGCTGTGCCTGGGTATGGCCACGGGGCGGAGGACTTGGAGGTGCTCATTGGTCTCTGTCTCCCACCAGCTGAAAACAAGACACTGCCACGGTCCAGCTCCATGGCCGCAGGGCTCGAGAGGAACGGCAGGACGAGGGTGCAGGCCATTTTCTCTCACGCTGCCGGAGATAACAGCACCCTCCTGAGCTTCAAGGAGGGCGATCTCATCACGCTGCTGGTGCCCGAGGCGCGGGACGGCTGGCACTATGGGGAGAGCGAGAAGACAAAGCTGTGAGTGCCAGGGCTGTCCCTGGGAGCCGCCGCAGCCTCCTCCGGGTGTAAGCGTGGGTTCGCCTTCATCCCTGCCTTTGCCTTCCAGGAGGGGCTGGTTTCCTTTCTCCTACACACGGGTCCTTGACAATGATGGCAGCGAGCGGGTCCACACGAGGTAGGAGCACTGTGCTGGGTGGGTGGCTGCGCCATTCCCAGGGCAGAACTGTGGGCTTGGGGTGGAGATGAATGAAGAGGGATTTCTTACAGGTCGTGATAGAGCAAAGGGGACTGGTTTTAATCTGCCCGAGGGGAGACTGAGCTGAGCTCTTAGGCAGAAGCTCTTCCCTGTGAGGGTGCTGAGGCGCTGGCACAGGGTGCCCAGAGAAGCTGTGGCTGCCCCATCCCTGGCAGTGCTCAAGGCCAGGTTGGACACAGGGGCTTGGAGCAAGCTGCTCCAGTGGAAGGGGTCCCTGCCATTGGAGCTGGATGAGCTTTAAGGTCCCTTCAACCCATTCTACAGTTCTATGAATAGTCCACTTTCCCAGGGCACAATGCATGTGGTCAGGAATAACTCCCAGCACAGGCAGATAGGAGGTGGTGTTTGGCCATGGGGTCCCCCTCTGGGGGCAGCCTGGGGGGTTTCAAACTGGGCTGGCCTGGTGCTGATGCCTCTGCTTTGGTCCCCCCCACCCAGCCTGCAGCAAGGGAAGAGCAGCAGCACCGGCAACCTGCTGGATAAGGACGACATCTCCATCCCACCGCCGGACTACGGCATGGCCTCCCAAGCCTTCCCGGCACAAGGTGCCAACACCTTCAAGCAGAGGCCGTACAGCGTGGCCGTGCCTGCCTTCTCCCAGGTGAGCCCGTGGGGCAGTGGGGGCTGCTCCCCCTTCGGGAGGGATGCTTTATGAACAGGAGATGCTTGGAGCCGGGCCCGGGGGCTGCAGCTTCTCCATGGCTCCGGTGGTTTTAAAGCAGGACAAAGTGTGTTAAACGTGTTCTCGGTCCCCGGAGGGCTGCTCTCCAACCTCTGTTCGTTGTTTGTAGGACTACCTAATGCCCTATGGTTGTGCAATTAAAGACTATTCCAGTGGCCTCTGCCAACCACCCTCCGCCCACTACAAGCCTTACACTAGGTCGACAGCAGTAAGTCCGAACACACGCAATGTTTCCCTTGGGGTTTACGGGCAGTTGGCTGGTTTTGCCTGCTGATCCATGTGCCTTGCCTGGGGCCACGTCTCCTCCCTGGGGAGGTGGGATGGGGGATGCAGGGAGGCAGTGGGAGAGGAGAGCAGTGGATGGGGGGGGTTGGCCAGTTTGGGTCAGCTGGGCGGAACAGGCGAGGCACAGGGAGCAAATGGCACAAAATGCCACCGTAAGCCCCCAAAGGACAACACTTGCTGAGTCCATGGGAGCCTCCCACCAGAAACAGGCTGTTCACAGGCAGCTGGAAGCGTTTTCTCTGGCACAGTCCAGGTCAAGCCAGTGATGGTCCCGTGGGGATGCTGGGGTGAGTGCATGGGGCCGGGGCAGACCCTGGTGGTGCCCAAGATGAGCTGAGGGCTTGTGAGATAATGAGATGGGAGGATGCACGTGTGGATGAGATCAGCTTTACCCAGGAGCCACTGGAGCAGTGGGGCTTCCCCACCAGAGCAATGAGGATGAGCCGCATTGGCTTCCCCAGAGCACTTGGCTCATGCTGGCAGATGGGGAGAGGATGAGGAGGGGGAGAGGCAGCCATGCAGCACCCGACCCTTCAGCAGGATGCTCTGGAGAGGCAGCAGATCCAGTGGGATCTGGTCCTCTCTGCAGCCCCACTTCTTGATGTCTGCTGGGGTTTCCCAGTGGGGTTTGCTGCTGGATTTGGGGTTTTGTGATTGGAAGCATTCCTGGGACCATGGGAATACGGGTCTCTGACCCATGGTGCATGGCCAGTGAGTCCTGCTCTTTCCTGAAGTGGTCCCATGGAGCTGCTCCATGGTCATATCCCAGAGCAAGTCCTCACCCAAGGAGCAATGTCCTCAAGGTACATGCTCCAGCCCATCTGCTCCTCAGACCAGTGCAGTCCTTCCCTGCTGTACAGGCTGTTCACTAGCAGCTGAAGGAGAAAATGGTCCAAACCCCTGTGGGTTTCTGGTGGGAGTTAATACAGAGAAACACCTTGCACAGAGCATTTCACTGGTGACTTGTTCAATCCCTTTTCAAGTGTCCCACATCTCAAAAGCAACTGGAGCTGTGCACCTGGGCAGAGCAAACTGGGGCTCTCCCGCCTGTTGCTTTCCCTTGGCTTGCTGGATAAAGTCCTGCTCTGAAGAGAGTGGAGCCACTTTACTTCCTGCTCCCTAAATCCCATTTGACTCATCTCCATCTCCCCCTTTCCACTCCAAATGCATTGGCCCTGGGTCCTGATGCACTTTGGTCTGTTGGTGTGACCCCCTGGTGGCACCTGAACGGGCTCAGCCCCACGTCCCCCACCCCTCACCATGCTTCCTCCCCTCCTCTCCGCAGGGTCTCGATGACTACGGGACGAGGTCCGTCAGCAGGTAAGACCTCACCTTCCTGTCGCATTACCTGGAAGTGAATTGCTTGTGTTGGTTCTGGGTGAAGCTGTTGAGCCGTGTCCCCATGGGGGTCCCTATGTGGGCTCCCCAGGGGATGCGCAGTGGTGGGGATGAGGTTGTGTGGTGCAGGTCTCGTCCGAGCATGGAGGGACCCAGTGTCTCCAGGGGAGGGCAGGTCCTGGGGCACCCCACATGGGCTCGTGCTCCTCCAGAAGGAGTCAACCTCCTCAGCCTCCTTTGGATAGCAGGGCCACGGGGAGCTCGCACTGTTGGGGCCATTCCCCAGCATCTTCTCCCACCCAGCAGCTCCTCCATCCCCATCCCCTCTGCCTCGCAGCCCCATCTAAGCCTTGGGGATAACCCCAAACACGGGGCCTGTGAGCTGAGCGGTGATGGGCAGGGGCCAAGCTCTCCGCCCCGCTCCAGTGCCGGTCCCCATGGCACTGAACTGTGGAGCTGGGCTCCCGGGCACGGTGCTGCCCCGCGGTGCGTGCCGTGCTCCCGGCCCCTCTGGCAGTGTCCTGTGCTTTGTTCCGCAGTGGCAGTGGCAGTTTGGTATCAACGGTGTGAGGACACCTTGGCTAGCGGCTGCTTGGAAGAGCTTTCTGCTTCTTTCCCCACTTCTTTTTGTTTCTCTTTCCCCCTCATTTCTCTTTCTCTACTTCCTTTGGATTTTAAACTCTTGTGATCTTCAAGGAAACCATGGTGCTTCTCCACCCCCCCCCCGGTGTTCACAGTGCCCTTGTTTCTGAAGCCTTTTTCCGAGCAGAAACTGCCGCTGGGGCTGTGCTCGCTTTGCAGCAGCCCGGATGCAGTTGACACGTTAGTGGGACCCGGTTTTTTGTACCCCCTGTGACCGTTAGCGATGCACTATCACCCCTCCTCCGGGGCTGCCAGCGCCTCGCACGAGCCTGGACACAACCTCCCACACTGGAACAAATATGCATGGCCTCTGGTGTCCGTACTGTTACTGAGCATCCGGGATGCCCGCACCCGGGATGCTGTTCCCAGCCTCATCCGCTTCCACCCAACCACCCACTGCGGTGGCTTTGGGAGAAGGGGATAGCGCAGAGCCCCCCGCCCCGGGGAAAGGGCTGCTTTAGGGCTGGGGTCCCGCCGGCCGTGGGGCGCAGCCGGCAGCCCCCCTGGAAGGGTTATTCCTGGTTGTTTTATAAATATATATATATATTTTTTGTAGCAAGGTATTGTTACCTCACGTCAGCGCTGGGGCGGGTGCGGGGCCGCATCCCTACACCCGGCTTGGCCGGGGAGGGGGTTCGGCAGCACCCGGGGGTCTCCCCTCGGCACTCGGGGTGCAGAGCCCTTCCCGTGCCCGTCTCCACTGCAAAGCTGTCCACGCTTTCTTTTTCTGGTGTGGTTTTTACAACCCGTCACATTGCCTGTTTACTGGGACATTGCTGGCAATAGACACACACACACGGACACGGCTTTGTTTTCTATACTCGCCTATGGGCAGACTGTAACAAGACCCTCTTGCATCGATGTCCTTTTGCTAAAGATTTTTAACACAGGATATTTCATGCTGAATGACTACATGTAGAAGGGGGGGGGGTGAAACCCCACCCCAGCCTAGTGAAGCCTGTATGGAGATTGTAAAGTGCTGAAAACCCTTTTTTAAAAGCCAGAGAGAGAAATGTGCCCTGTACTGAGTTCTTGTTTGAATAAAAGTTTTATTTATTGCATTGAGCTGGGCCTCGGTGTCTTTTTCGGCTGCCGTGCCTGTGTGCTGCCCATCGCATCGCCCGCTGCACGCTGCCAGGCCTTTTTTTGTGTGCCCCTCTCCATCCCCGTGGCATTCAGAGGCCGGGGGATGCCTGCCCGCGCTCAGCCCCGAGGCTTTAAACAGCTTTTTGCTGAGCGGGAGCAGCTAAAACTGTTTAAGGGCTGGGTCCCTCCTCCGTGTGCATCTCGAGGGGAGGATGCTGCTGCTGCTGCTGCGCTCGTCGCATGCCGAGGCTGCGGCTGCGCTTTCCCGGCGGTGGGAAAGCGGCGATGCCAATGCAGGGGGAAGGAAGCTGCCCCCCTCTCCCTTCCGTAGCCCCCCTCCCCGTGCCTGGCCTCTCCTCCCCGCAGGTGGCTCCCGGCTGGCCGTGCCCTTCCTTCCCCTCCTCGCAGCACCAGCAGCTCCATAAACACCACTTTTCCTCCTTTTTCTTCTTCTTCCTCCTGCTTCCTCTGTCCGGAGGCGCTGTGTGCGGGATCCCAGCCCGGTGCCTCTCGTTAACCAACAACCAAGGGGTCGGAGCGCATCCCGGTGTCCTCCAACCTGCCTTCTCTTTCCCTTGCAGCCCTGATGTTGAAGTGGCCAGGTTTTGAGCTGCCCCTGCCCGTAGTTAGTAAGTTGATGGTCTCGGGGGGCCGAGCCCTGGGTGTACTGGTGCTGGGCAGCGGGTGACGGCCGCGGGGCTGCGCGGGCACGGTGCCACCGCTCTGCTTCCCCCCTGCACCCGGCTGAGCCCGTCCCTCCATCACCACCGCTTGGCCTGGTGGCGGGAGCTCCCGGTGTAACCGCGCTGCATCGCACGGCTCCTTGCACCGCAGACCGCTGGGGCCACGCTTCCCGTGGGAACGCTGCGCTGCTGCTTCCCTGCTCCCCATAACCAGCCTCTTTGGTTGTAGGTGTCCAGCGACCACTGTCCCACCAGTCACTGCATCGCTGTCCCCAGCCCTGGAGCACATCCACACTAACGTCAAGTTCTTTGAGCAGCTTCTTTTGCTTATAGACCACCTCTGGGACGTGTCTCAGGAGCCTCCGCATCCCAGCCATGGCCTCGGGGCAGGGAGGGAGGAGTTTCCCCAGGAGCCGGGACCCACCTCGCTGGCATTGCGGAGCCCAGGAGAGCCCCTTCCCTGTTTCTCTTTGATCCATGAGCTGGTTTTCCTGCCGGAGCTCTGGGCTCCCATCCCAAGGGCTCTTCTCTGCCAGAACAAAAACAGTTAAATAACAATCCCTGGTGACTCATCAAAGCAACCTTTCCTCTCCCTCCAGTCCTGAGAATCTATTTTGGCATCCTGGGGGGAAAGTGATCTAAGAAGCTGCATTAATTAGGTGGGAAATTAATTACCCTATTTTTAAGCAGAAGCCATTTATCTTCTAAGGAAAGCAAAAGCGCATTTGGAGGGGTGAGGGATGGAAGGGGAGCAGGGCTGGGGGGGGAGCAAGTGCCTCTGGGGGGTTGCTGCAGAGGGATGGCCCCAATGTCCCATAGCTGGCTCCAGGTAGAGGTATCCAGTAATCACAGCTGCTCCTACCGTGGCTTAACCTTATGGTCATGTTTGTCTTGCTGACACTTACCTGCACCCGTGGCTGGGGATGGCAGGGCTGTGACTGGCCGGTGGCCCAGAGTGGCTTTGCTGTGGTTCACAGCCATCGCCTCAGTTGCAGAAGGGAAAAGGCTTTGTGCAGCTCCATGGGGGCAGAGGAAGGGCTGGGGGTCCGCAGGCAGGAGGGGCGGGGGCATGCAGGGATGCTCTGTGGCTCCCGTGGCTGCTGTGCTGGTGCATGTTTGGACCCGATGTGTCCTGATAGCTGCACCCCTGAGTTAACTCCCAGAGGGGACCTCCTGGGGCAGGTAAGGGTGCTCCCTGTGTCACAGCAGCATTTGTCCCTGGTTCCGGCCACAGGACCTGTGCATGCCGGGGCTGTGGCAGCAATGAGCTGGCCCTGGAAAGCGCTGCCGCTACCCCAGGTAGGTAAAAGCCTGGCTGGTCACCGGGCTGGTGCGCTGGGGGCCGGGCTGTGCTCGGTCCTGTGGCCCTGCTGAGCTCCTCCACCACATCCAACTTGCTTCTTGGGTATTGAACTTCTACAGAGGGCTCCCAGCTGGCACACCACAAACCCTCTGCATGCAGCTGGATGCGCTGCTCTTAGCCAGAGGGTCCCCACGTGTACCACGGCAAACATGGAGCCATAATCCCCTCTCTGCTCCCCCATAGCAGCTCAAGGCTGCTCATGTGTGGAAATGATTCAAGCACAGTCTAGGGGTTTAGAACAGCTTCTCCAGCCCTGGCTCCCTGCTTAGCAGCCCCAGCTTTAGTCCTGCTGGAGAGCAAGGTAGGAGAACACCCCGCATGCAGCAGCACTTGCCAGCTTACGTTTTACATCCACCATGGCTTGAACAGGGAGAGAAGCAGAGGAGCTGGGAGCAGCTCAGCCCAGGGGCTCACAGGGCAGCGCATTTCCAGCTTCACCCCTTCCCCAATGCTGCTGGTCCCAGGCAGATGGAGGGAACGTGACCGTGGCTCCAGGATCTCCGATGGCCTCGGGCTGAGTCTCGAGGGGTGCCCAGCGCAGCCTCTGCACCGAGCACAGCAAAAGCTTTTGGGGGTGTCTCCACGTCACCACTGGCTGTGCCCGTGCCCGTCCTCACAGGCCCCGCTGCCCCCCTCCCTCCTGCTAAACCGCTTCCTCTCTCTCTGCAGAAACCCCTTTGCCAACGTCCAGCTGAAGCCAACGGTGACCAACGACCGCTCGGCGCCGCTCATCAGCTGATGCCGCGCCGGTGCCCGCTGTGCCACGCGGCACCCGCGCCGCTCCTCACCACTGCATGTCCGCCTGCCAGGACTTCATCTTCAGGCGGAGTTTATTTAACCCTGCTGCTTTGAAAGCCAAAGGCTCCCGCTAGTGCCCCAGTTCTTGCTTCTCCAGACCCAGCTTGTTCCCCTCGGTGGCAGGGGGTTAAACCGCTGCCCATAGCCTTGTCCTTTGCTGCACAACAGCGGCGTGTCCCGTAGGCAGGTTTGCTTCTAGGCTTAGCAGCAGCTCACCATCATTGGGAGAATGGCCTCAGCTGGAAAAGAGCTCTCCATGGATGAGCTGTGCTTCGGAGCAGCAATGGCACTGGGGAGATGGTCTCTCTGCTCCCCCTGCCTGGCCAGAGGGACCCCTGGTACAAGCAGGATAGCCGGGATACCCTGTGCAAGCCAAACGGGTGGTGGGTGCCGTAGGCAGCTCCCAGCTCCTGCTAGACCCCAGTTTCCAGGCTGGGAGGTGGTGGGACACTGGTGCCACAGCCCCCGCCGGGACGGGGACGGCTCCAGTCTGTGTGTGCAGTTGGGAATTACGGTACTGCTGTAAAATATAAGCTAGGAAAAACGATCCTTTGGGGGGTGAGGGCTCTGTTTAAGCGTGCCTTGGGGTGCTTGGGTGCCCAGCGGGCGAAGGGGCACCCTGCTCCCCGTAGACAGGCTCTCCCATCCAGACCTCTTGCTTGGCTGTTTGCTCTTCCTCTGTTACTAGAGCTGCATGAGAGAAAGAGATAGATATAGGTTAAAAAAAGAGAAATATATATATATATATATACACACACACTTGTTAAGCTTATTGCAGGGATGTGCGCCCACGAGCAAGCTGCCTCCTGGGCCGATCCCACAGCTCCCGCGCCAGCACGGGGTCCACATCCTCACTATGGAAACGGGGAGAAGAGGGGTTTCCAGGCAGGAACCGTGCCTCCCGTGGGGGGCAGAGCCCTCCGAGGCTTTGCCTTTTCCATTGCATTTGTCACAGTTGCACTTTGTACTCGTGGGTGCTGTGCTGTGCACCGGAGCCCTGGGCACACGGGTGGCTGCTGGTGGGTCTCCATGCCCACTCAGATGTGATGGCTCGTGGCTGCTGTGTCCCCTCTGATGGCTCTTGCTGCAGGAAAGGGGCTGCTGCAATGGTCCATGTGCTGCTGCTGCTTCATCTCATGGGGCCGGAGCAGATGGATGGGGACCACACAGGGCTGGGGAGCAGAGCAGCAGATTGGGGGGTTCACAGCCCAGGAGGCGATGCCTGCGATCCCCTTGGCCATTGGCCCAGCGTTGTCCTCTTCTAGCCCTCCCCAGGACCCCTGTGCAGCCCCCTCAGGCTCCAGCCAGCCCCTGGGGCTCCTTTGCACCTCCTCCAGTTGTGGCACCTGCAAGATGGAACCTGAAATAATTTTTTATGAGAAAAATATGTAATTTATGAACAATAAAATCCCCCCCCCCCCCCCGGTGTTCCCCTTGTCTGGAGGCATCCGCCTGGCCCTGGAGCATCCTCGGTCTCCATCCCGAGCCCCCCTGGCCCCAGCCTTGGGCAATGATCCGGGCAGGAAACAGCTTAAGATACTTTAAAAACTTTATTATTGGCCCGATGCTATTTGACACACATGCTGGGAGCTGAATGGAAATCAGCACTGATAAAAAATACAGCGATATGACCCGTATTGGTAAAATAGACAATGTAATAATAGCCTTTCTATTAAAAACAACTCTCCAAGACACAGCTCTGTCCTCATGCTGCCCTCCAGAGGCAGGGACCTGCGGCGCTATAGACCAAACCCGGGGGCTGGAGGAGGGGGGGGGCAGGAGCAGCATCCCATCACCCTGGGTGCAATGGGGGACTGGGGGGGGGATGAACAAACCCCACTGCAATGCTGAGTCAGCCTGTGCAATGCAGGATGCACAGGGGGGTAGAGCAGGGGCACAGGGTTGGGGAGCAGCAGGATGGGTGCTGCAGGAAAGGGATGTCCTTAGGGGTACCACTGCTGCAGGAAAGGGATGTCCTTAGGGGTACCACTGCTGATGGGTGACAAAAGGCAGTGTGGGGATATCAGCCCCCCCGCTGCAAAGTGTAAGGGAAGGGCTTGCAAGAACTGGGATGGGGATTTGGGGGGGTTACAGGCCAGGTTGGAACTGAAATACAACAAATAAAGCAGGAATTGCCATCAGTGAGCAGCTGCTGTGGGAGAAGCAATCAGCAGTGGGGGGGTCCAGAGCAGGCACAGCCGCCCTGGGTATTGGGGGTGAATTTGGGGTCCCCCCGGACTCTGTCCCCTGGGGACAACAGCTCCGTGATGGGGACACAGCCCCAGGCTGGGCTGGCTGAGGGGGGGGGGCAGTGGGGTAGCGCCGGTGCCCGGCACCAGGCTGGGCACCCATCGGCGGCTCGGTGCCAAGGCAGAGCCAGCCCTGGCATGGAGAGAACCCCAGCGCCAGCCCCGGCACATGTGGGTGCACGTGTGTGTGTCTGTGTCCGGGCATGAGCACGTGTGCCCTTGCCCCATGTACATTGGGGTGCCAGGAGCCAGCGGGGCCTGCGGGACATGGGACTGGGGAAAGGGGGGGGCATTTCTCACCTCAGGGTTTGGTCTATAGACCCCAAAGGAGCCAGCCCTGATCTCAAGGTTTCGCTCAGCTCCGCTTAACTTCCATTATTTCCCGGTGGAAGCTGGAATTGCACAATGATCCTAAGCCTCAAATGAACTCAAAAGAGAACAAAGAAAGAAACCAGAACGAAGAACCACGAGTGCCCCCCCCCCACCCCCCGACTCGTTACGTCTCTTTGGCAGCAATAACTTAAAATCGCATCCATGTGGGTTCATCAACAGCAAGTTTTGTTTGGAGGGTGCGTTTGGGTGGTTGGGGGGGGGTTATCCTTTTCTTTAAATACAAAAATAGTGGGGTCAGTGGGTCCCGGGGGTCCCAGGAGCCCCCTACCAGCCCTCCCCATGCTGCTCCCCACCGCAGCGGGGCAGGGGTCCTGCCAGCCCTTGGGGTCTAAGGACTGCTCCCCAAAAAGCAAGGGGGGAGCTTTCCATCCCCCTGTGTCCCCCAAGCCATTGCCCACCCTTGGTGCAGCAGCACCAGAATGGGAATGGGTGCACTCAGGGTGACACCGAGCAGCAGCAGCAGCCGGCCCCCCGCTCAGGAACACTGTGGGGCAGCCAAACGGCCGTGAGGTGCAAGACCAAGGGGATGGCACAGGGGGTGCGGGGACAAACACCACCGCAGGAGCACACACGGGTGAGAAGCCAAGGGGGGACTGCACTGGGGGGGGGGGACACTCCGCAAATGTTAGCAAGGTCAGGGCACTACCCTTTAAATGCTAGAATCTATATATATATATATGTCTATATATATATATATGTGTCTATGTATAGAGGCACCCGAGCCACCCGCACCCCACGCGCGGCCGTCACCCACCGCCTGGCCCCGGGCCGGCCCCGCTCCCGCTCCCGCTCGCAGCAGCCAACGAGCTCCTTCCGGCAAAATCTGCCTAAAAAAGTCCGGAGCGTGGCCCCCACTCCCGGCCCCGCTGTGCTCTGCCACCCCCTGCCAGTGCCGGTGCCAGTGCCAGTGCCGGTGCCGGTGCCGGTGCCGGTATCCTGGCTGGCTCACTCCCGGTCACCATCTTCACTGCTGCCTGCAATGAATGGAGAGGTGGCGGTGAGTGGGACCCACTGATCCCATGGGGCACCCGGCCCTTCAGAGGGTGGCCACTGGGTGCCCAACACTCAGTTCCCACCAGGGGCTCTGTACCACCAGGGGTGCCAAGGGCTTCAGGACTCACCTCCTATGGAGTCCATGTCCGAGTCGGAGACGTGGGTGATGGAGAACCGGGACACCGGAGCCGGGGAGACCGTGAACCGGGAGAACTGGATGGGCAGGACCTGCTTCTGCACCGGCACCAGCGCGGGCACAGCCGGGTCGGGCTCCGCCGGCGGCCCCGTCAGCGACGCCATCAGCGACGGCTTCACCGGCATGAGCGGGAAGTCATCGTCCCACTCGAAGCCACCGCCTGCGACATGGATCGAGGGGGCTGAGGCCACCGGGGGCTCGCCCCAACCGGGCCCCTCTCACCCCCATTGCCCACCGGCCACTTACTCTCTTCCGAGGCGTTGCCATCCGAGGAGTCATCCGAGGCTCCGAGCCGGTCTGCGGGGCTGGGGGGGCTGCTGCTATCGGGGGGCTGCCCCGAAGGCTGGGGGGGCTCCGGGAAGCTCTGCTCCGCCAGCTCCCGCGTGGGGCTTTCCTATGCGAGGGGGGAGAAGTGAGAGGAGACCCTGGGCATGGATCCCAGCATCGGTCCCATTGGACAAGGACGCACCCTACAACAGCACAGGGACACGACCAGCACCCTGCTCTGCCCAGCCCATGGCCACCTACCTGGTCAAAGAGGTAGATGGTAACGTCATCATAGAAGGAGACGGCCTTCTTCTTGCGCTCCAGGTCCTCGCAGAAGGACTCGGAGAGCAGGCTGGGCATCTTGAGGAGGCTGCGCAGGTTCCGGCCGCTCTGGCTCTCGGCCACCACGATGGGCACGGCCGCCGGCTCCTCCTCGCTCTCCTCGCTCTGCTCCTGGATGTTGTAGCAGCGCAGCTCCTCATCGGACTCATCGCTGTCCTCCGAGTCCTCCTCATCCTCCTCCGGCTCCTCGCGGCGCTCGGGGGCTGCCGGACGCGGCTCCCGGGGGGATTTCAGTGGGGACAGGCCTGGGGGTGCCTCGTCCCCCGGTCGCAGTGTGCTCGGCCCCCCCGGCGCATCGTCCGCCCCAGTCCCCTCGGGGGGCAGCCCCAGATGCCCAAGCCCCGGCGCGGGGGGCACAGTCTGTTCATCCCCAACCGCGGCTCCAGGGATGCCCTCGGGCACACGGGTCCCTCCGATGGACACCGGCTCCCCGGGGCTCGCCGGCACCGGGGTCAAGAGGAAAGTCTTGTGTGGCACAGAGCCACCGGGGCACAGGGAGATGCCCGGCACCAGCCCCGTGCCAGCGGGACGCTGCTCAGTGCCAGGCGCTTGCCCCATGGGGCTGACCGGGGTGCTCCCACCCTCTGCCCCACGCCAGTCCCCCACCAAACCCCCAGGCACCGGCGTGTCCGCTGCCACCGCAGCACTGGGCGCTGCTGGGGGGCTGCCGGGTGCCCCCGGGGGGTGCAGAGGGTCCTCTCCCAGCACTGGGGCTCTCCCTGTGTCCTTAACAGGGGACTGGGGCCCCTCCTCTGCCTCCGGGGTCCGGGACCCATCGCTGTCCTCCTCATCCTTGGGGCCACGCTCGGCCTCGGTGTCGTAGTCAGAGAAGTACGCGGAGTCACGGTACGGGTTCTTCTCGGCCAGGCTCTGCAGCTCAGCCCCGAGGGCCGTGGGGAGCCGCGTTTCGGGGGCCGAACCCTCACCCTCACCCCCCGGCAGCCCCGGCGCTGCCTTCCCCAGCTGGCTGAAGGGCTCCGGCTCTCGCGGCTCGTGGGGCTCCTTGAGCACGAACTCGGGGGATTCGTTGTTCTCGGTGTCGTAGCCGCTGTCGAGGGCCTTGGCCTGGCCGGCGGGCGCGAAGGCGGCGGTGGGGCTGCACACCTCGATGGAGCTGCCCGTGGATGGGATGTCCAGGGACTCCAGGGAATCCGGCGTGCCCACCTGCTTCTGCAGGGCCTTGAACGGCGCTGCCGCCTCCGCCCGCTCGGGGTAGTCCCCGGAGTAATCGGTGAAGACGCCCGAGGTGAGCTCGGCCGTGTCCTCGTCGCTGCCCTCGTCCGCACTGGGGAAGCTGGAGCTCGAGCAGGTCTTGTCCGGTGTCCGGTCCGCGTCGCCCGCGGCACACCCGGCGCTCTCGGCAGCAGCCTCCATTGGCACCGGCGCGGGCGCCCCGGAAGCCTCGGGCGCGGGCTGGGAGCCATCTATGCCAGGCTCTGCGGGGGGGCTGGGGTTCGGGGTGCCGGTGCCTGCCATGGCGGCGGCCTCCTCCAGCCCCGGTGCAGGCGCGGCGTGGGGCAGCGGGCTGCGGGCAGGGCTGCTCCCCTCCGCGCTCTCCTCCGGGTGGGCATCGTGCTGGGCCCCTGCGGTGGTGGCGGGGGCCGTGGCGGGGCCCCACGGCGTGGCGGGGCTGCCAGCCAGCGCTGCTGCTTGCAGGCGGCCTGAGGTTGATGAGTCACGGCTGTGCCAGGCCTGACGCCGCAGGGAGGGCGAGCAGCACGGGGAGGAGGAGCCGGCGGCCGTACCGGGGGGCTGATCCTGCCACGGGCGGCGGAAGTCGTGTCCCGGCGGAGACCCCCCGAGCTGGCCGCGTGGCACCGTGCCCAGCGGCTTGGCCATGAGCCCGCGGAAGGTGATCATGCGGCGGTAGCACCAGCTGTCCCCGGCCGCCGCCTCGCCGGGGCTCCCGCTGCCGATGTTGTTGTTGGAGGAGCTGTTGGAGGCCCAGGGGTGCCGCTGGGACGCGGGGCTGTGGCTCTGTGCATGCGGGGGGCTCGGGGGGCTCTTGGGGCTGTCCTCACCCAGCTCCACCGCCACGCAGTCCGGATGCGCCGCGCTCTGCCCCGGCACGCACCCGCCCGGCGGGTCCACCCGCAGCTCCCCATGCCCACGGGGGCTGTAGGCGCAGGTCACCGACGGTGAGACCCCCAAGGGGTCGGTGAAGCCGTGGGGCTGGAAGCTGGGCCCGGGCCAGTCCTGCCTGCCCGGAGGGGGGGGCTCCTCCTGCAGCAGGAACCCCTCAGCCCCACAGCCGGGGGACGGCTCCTGCCCAGGGCAGGGGTAGGGGTAGAACTCGGCGCACTCCCAGGAGCCATCACCCACGGGCGCCTGGCCCAGCAGCGGCTCCATGCTGAGGGACACCGTGGGGCTGCTGTCGGAGTCGTAGGCGCTGCCACTGCGGGTGCCCGGTGCTCGCCAGCAGGACGGGGGCCGCAGGGGCCCGCGCTCACCGGCGGGGCTGTAGGTGCCCATGGCGTAGTCCAGCTCGGCGCTGCCGTCACCGGGGCCCTCGATGCGGATGTAGTACTCACTGCCCAGCGAGGGGCTGTGCGCGCCCAGGATGGGCACCACGCCGGGCGCCGGCAGCCCGGGGCAGCCCGGGGGCTTGCACTCATAGCACGAGGGGGAGACCCCCAGGCTGAGGCGCGCCGTGGTTGTGGCCGGGTAATAGAGCTCATGGTAGCGAGCGGCGCTGCTGGGGCTGAGTGACCCCAGGGGCGCCTGGAAGTGCTCGGTCTTGGTGTGCTCCCACTTGTACTCGAAGTTGAGGCCGTGGCTGGTCTCCATGACGGTGAGGATGTCGTCCCCATCCGAGGGGAAGCCGTCGGCCGAGAACTGCTCCAGCAGCGGGAAGGAGGAGAGCTCGGGGCCGTGGTGGCTGGCGCTGGAGCTGCCGTTGGGCTTCATGGAGTTCCAGCGCTTCTCGAACTCCTCCTCCGCTTCCGTCGCCCCTTTGGCGCAGAGGTAGGAGAGCAGCAGATGGACCTCCTCTGCCGTGGGGCGCTGCTCCGGCTGCAGCCAGCAGAACTGCATCACCTCGTACCTGCCGCAGCGAGGGGCCAGGGTCAGCCCCGGCTGTGCACCCACCCGGGGGTGAGGAGAGGGAAGGGGGGCAGGATGCGGCCTCACCAGCGCTCCGACAGCGAGAGCTTCAGCTGGGGCTTGGGCAGCTTGAGCTGCTGCTCCTTGATGGCGTAGGCGAGCACTTGCCGGTCAGAGTAGTGGTCATAGGGCTGGCTGCCCAGCTCAAACAGCTCCCAGATGGTGACACCCAGCGACCTGCAGGCAGGGCGGGATGCTGGGGACACTGGGACCCTCCACACTGCTCCCGGATGGTGGCCCCAAACCCATCCACCCCAATGCACCCCGCATGCCTCGCACCTCCGCCCCCCCCGGCCCCGCTCACCAGACGTTGCTGGCCTTGGTCTGGTCCACGATGAGCAGGTTGCCGTGCACCTCGTCGATGAGCTCGGGCGCGATCCAGCGCAGCGGCACCCACAGCTGGTCGGCCGTCACGAAGTAGTCGTCCTGCCAAGTATGCAGGGTCAGTACGAGAAGAGAACGTCAAACCTACGCGTTCAGGGACTGGCCACAGCCCCGCCATCCCCTGCCCTCCGCAGCCACCCCAATGCCTGATCCCCCCGTGGCACCTCCAACCCAGTCCTGAGCCCCTTCCTCTGCTCCTCCCGGTACCCATCCACCTTCCTGCCTCCCATCACATCCTTCCTCCCCTCCTCATCTTCATGAGTGTGGATGTGTGCTGGCTCCCAGCAGGCAGCCCCCAGCCCCATCCTTCCCCAAACCAGCCTTACTTTGTACTTGCAGTGCGAGAGCCCGTAGTCTCCGATCTTGACGGTGAGGTCTGCGGTGAGCAGGCAGTTCCGCAGAGCCAGGTCGCTGCCAAGCAAACCCCAGAGCTGTCACCGCTGCCATGGGGGGCACAGGGGGTACCCAGTGCCCGGGGACCCCACCAGTGTGCTGCTGGTGGCAGCAGGGTGGGTGTGCAGTGGCGGGGTTCACTGCCCAACCCTGGGTGTGCCGATAACCAGGCACCGAATGCACAGCAGGAATGCCTGCGCAGCTCCAGCTGCATCTCCATCCGTCCGTCCATCCATCCATCACACGCTGAGCCAAGCAGAAAGCGGGTGTCCCCGGGCAATGCGAGCCCTGGCACGGAGCCGGGCTCCCGGCGGCACACATGAGATCCCCAGTGCGGCACCGGTGCGGCAAGAACCACGGAAACCGGGATGCCCACACAGGGACGTCCCTGTCCCCCCAACCACAGCACTGGGCACCCCCGCAGGGACCCACCCGCAGAGCCTGGTGGGTGGGGGAGATGCGGTGGCCCCCGATGTCAGTGCACCCCCTCCTCAACAAAATCACTGATGCTGGAGTCTCCATCCGCAACTCACTCAGCACCAGGATATTGTTGGGCAGGAGGAGCAGCGGTGGGGCGGCAGCGATGGTGCCCTGGGTACCCCATGGGTCCGGACCCTCTGGTTCCTCCCAGGAAGGGGGGCACCAGGCCAGCCTACCTGTGGATGTAGTTGTTCCTGTGCAGGTGCAGGACACCGCAGGCCACCTCACACGCCATCCTCTGCAGGGTCAGCAGGTCCGGGGTCATGGCTTCAGCCCCCCGGCAGCTCCGCAGGTACCCCTTTAGGTCACCCTGCAAGGCAGAGCCACCATCACCACCACTGTCACCATCACACTGCAGGCGATGCTGCGCACCCTGCCTGCAGCCCTGCAATACCCCTGGTACCTCACAACCCTGCCCCACAGCAGCACCTCGGGGAGTGGGGCAGGGCACAGGGGGACACACGGCACTCACCAGTGGGCAGAACTCCATCACCAGCAGGTACGGGGTGACCTCGGCGCACTGGGCCAGGCACTGCAGCAGGTTGGTGTGCTGGAGGGCCCTGTGTGGGGCAGAGCAATGGGGACACATCAGCATGGTGCTGGCTATGGTGGGGGGACAGCAGCAGCCCCCAGGGAACCAACTCCCTGCCTGCTCATGCCCAGGACCAGCGCGGGGGCTGCCGGGAGCGCCGGGAGCGGGTACCAGTGTGTCCCAGCGCCCCGGAACACACCACAAAGGGACATTTGTTCAGCTCGGAGCGCAGGGAGCAGCTCTGCAACCACCCCCCCTCTGCCATGACCTCAGTGCAGCCCCCACACCGCAGCCAACAGCCCTTGTCCTGCTGCAGTGAGCCCAGGGTGAGGCGGTGGGGCTGGGGCAGAGCTGTGCTGCAATGAGCCTGGCCAAGCACCTCCATGGGGCAGCCATGGCGCAGCCGAACACGGCATGGGGGGGAGCAGGCACCACCCAACAGCAGCAGCACCGCGGGGTGACCCCCCCCATGTACCTGTAGGGCTGCGCTTCCTCCAGGAACTGCATCTGGTCCTGCACGCTGGCGCTCGCCTTCAGCTCCTTCACCACCACCTGGGTGCTGCTGATGCCTGAGTTCACCTCGCCCAGGAACACCTGAGGTGAGGGACAGGCTCGTCCCGTCCGTGCTCACCCCGAGCCCATTCCTGCGGAGCCGGGGTGTGCCCGGGCACCCTGCCCCGATGCTCACCTTGCCGAACCAGCCGTGCCCGATCTCCTTCAGGTAGAGCAGGCTCTGCCGCCCCAGGTCCGCCGACTTGAGGAGCTGCACTGTAACGGAGCACATCCAGCTGCCCGTGCGCCCCGTGCCCTGTACCCGCCCGCCCGGCATCATGCATTACCCGCCGGTGCCCGCCGAGCGCTGCCATCCCCACCGTGCCACCCGGTGCCAGGCCCTGCACTGCGCCGGGGTGCTCCGGAGCAGCCATCCCCAGGCACCCCGCAGCCAGAGCATCCTCCTGTCCAGGCATCACCCCACAGCTGCTGCGGAACACGGGGTACCAGTGTCCCCACATCGGGTGGCCCCTTCTCCTCCTTGGGGACCAGGGAAAGCAAAGCCAAGCCCAGCCGGAGCTCTGGCATTTAGCCCCTTCCAAGCTCCCCCCTCGGTGCAGGTCCTGCCCCTCGGGCACCCATGCCAAGGGCAGGCAGCAATGGGGCCATTGTTGGGCTCCATCACACTGCTGCCATTCTCCAGGCTGGGGCGTGACGCTGGGAGGGAGGGGAGCATGGCCAGGCCCCCCCCACATTCCTCTCCCACTCGTGGGCTTGTTTACATGGGACTGGGACAGTGTTCCAGTTCGGGGCCCCCATGTCCCCCATCCCAGTGGGATACCTCCCAGTGCCATGCATGGGGTTGGACACAAGCTACTGCAGACCCATAGCAGCAATGCTCCCCTCAACTGCCTGCCCCCTACCCAAGAGATGCTCCTGCTCCACCACCCATCCTTAGTGGTGGGACCCCCCTCACCCCACCGCCCCCCTGCAGCACACGGGGGTCCTGCCCCCAGCCCGGCTTACCTGAGCGCCCCGGCTGCTTGGCCATGGGCAGGGAGACCTTGGTGAGGGGCAGGACGTAGACCTCGGGGCCATGCTGGGGGGCGGGCGAGCCCTGGGCCGAGAGCTCGGTCACGAAGTCGTCGCCCTCGGCGTTCTCAAACTCCTGCTCCGGGGGGCGCATTCCAAGCACAGAGAACTGATGCTGGGGGTTCCTGCCCCACGCACCCGCATCCCCCCCTGCAGCACCCCCTGGCACCCGCTGCGTTACCTGGCTGTGCCCCCCAGCCAGCCGCCGGCACCCGAGAGCCGCCTGGGCGAGCAGGTAGGCAATGGTGAGCATCTCGCCCAGCCCAGCCCTGCCTCATGGTGCTGCCAAGCTCGCCGGCACCGCGCTGTGCCATGCACCGCGATGCACCGGGCACCAGCCCCTATATAACCAGTGCGGGGGCCCGAGCGGCTCATTGTTCCCCTCCAGCTCGGTGCAGGGCTGCAGCTCCTATGGGGCACTGACAAGGGCCCCCCCACTGCCCGCCTCCTGCCCCGGCGCCGCGAAGCCTCCACAAAAATCCCAGCAATTAGGGAAAAACCGTTTCTTCGGCACATTCTGTGCCTGTGAGGTCAGGGAGCCTCCACCCCCGGGGCGTGCGGCCCTTAACCATGGCCCCGCATGGAGCACGGCGCATGCATGGGTCTGGATTGGGTCTGCAGAGATGCTGAGCCCCGTAGATGCAGGCACTGCGGAGTGGGGAGCCCCGCTGGGTCACAGAATGACCCCCAGGTGATGCTGAGCCCTGCAGCATCCATGCTCAGGGATGCTGGCTGGGTCAGGGTATGGACCGCAGTGATGCTGAGCCCTGCAGCATCCATGCTCTGCAAAGGAGGGATCCTGGCTGGGTCAGGGTATGGACCGCAGTGATGCTGAGCCCTGGCACCACTCAGCAGGCAGGGGGGTGCTGAGCTCCCCCATAGCAATGCTATCCTGAGCCGGGACACATCCTGCACTGGCACTGGGACTGGGACTGGCCCCAGCAGCAGCACTGGGAGCCTTTGGGCACCTCTACCCTTTGCTGGGCTCCCAGGAGAAGCCCCCCTGGTCCCCGGACAAGCCTGGCCTGTGGACACCTCCGATCCCCCCGTCCCCGTGCCCCAGCTCACCTTGAAGCCGATGTCCCCCTTCTTGCAGCACAGGCAGGCCAACATGAGGAAGATGAAGGTGAAGAGCCCCGAGAAGGAAACAGCCACGACGGCCAGCGAGGAGGACCAGGAGAGCTCGCTAAGGGGGGTGCCGTCTGCAGGGACAGGGGAGAAGAGGGGACCAGGAGCAATGAGGCTGTGCCAGGGGGTCCGGGGGGGCCACAGGGTGTTCTGGGGCACACTGGGGGAATTGGGGCTCCCAGCACCACTGTTCCCTATTGCTGTCGCAGCTTGAGGCCAGGACTGATGGGGAGCCCAGGAGGGACCCCAGAGCTGAGTCAGGACCCTGCATGGAGCGGGACAGGGCACCCCGAGGCGGGATGGATGCAGGAGGATGGGAAGCTGGTCCCCAGTGCCCAGGCAGAGCCAGCTCCTGCCCCATCCCATCCATGGAGCTTGGAGACAAGATCCCCCAGGGGAGGGGTCTGGTGGCATAGGGCAGATCCTGCTCCCACTGACACCAACAGCTCTGCCTCTGCATGCAAACACCACTGGGCAAAGCACAGCTCCTGCCCTGAGCCCCACACCAGCTCCATTCCATGGGGCACAAGGATGGGGACGTGGCTGCTCCCGCAGCTCCCCACATCCCTCGCTGTGCCCCCTTGGGTGGCAGTGACGGTGGTGGCAGCGGTGGCCCTGCTGCCCGTCCCCACCAGGCCCCGCCGCGGCTGCAGCTGCCACATTACTATTCTACCCAGAGCCCGCCCGAACAACCGGCGCGATTGTGGTGGGAGGAAGCCGGTGGCCACGGTGCTGCCAATGGAGCTGGCATCGCCGGGGACCCGCACGCAGCCCCACGGTGCCATCCCCACAGGACATCACGGACGGAACGGGTGCCCTGCCCCAAGCCCCTCCATGGTTCAGCCAGACCTCCTGCCCCAATCCCCATCCAGCTCTGCAGTCCCTCCCCAGCCCCTCACGGATGCTCACGGTGCACATACAGCTCCCATGCATGGACCATGGGGCATCGCCCCACCACCAACCATGCTGCCCCTGTGCCACCACCGTCACCCTGCTGCCGGCTCCGGTGTGTCCTTGGAACGGCACCTGAAGGGCACAGAGGTCTTGGGCAGGTCCCGGTGGGAGCTGGCAGCTCACGGCTGCTCCCAGGCACTGCCCGGCACCGCACGGCGTGGCCACGGAGCACCCTGGCTCTGGCACCGCAATGAGTGATGCACAGGCCCCGTGTGCTTTGGCAAAGCCCAAACCACACCAAACTCTCTGCTGGTGCTTGCAAAGGAGCTCAAGAGCCATCTTCTAAGGCTCACGGATGCAAAGCCGAACCTGGGAGGAGCAGGGGGTGGCGTTCCCCCTCCTTTCAGCCCGTTTCCATGGTGAACACACTTTGTACCGAGAACGTCACCATTTTCCCTGGATAGTGGGACAGCAAAAGAGAAAATGACTCACTGAAAAGAGCCCTTTGAGCATCGACAGGGAGCAGAGCGCGGCGACGGCAGCTTTTCCAACAGGGACCATTGGCTGAGCCGCCCCTCGGCAAACGAACCACTCTCCAAACCAACGGGCCAGTGAGGTCAGGCTGGTCCTGCCTCCGTTTTCCCACCAGCACCAAGAGCAGCCCAGGCTGGGCCGGGTGTCACACCGGCACAGGGGCACCACCATCACCATGACCCACCATCACCATCCTGCTGCCTGGGCAAAGCACAAGCTGCCCTTCCCATAACCATAGTGCAGGCATTCAGTGTGGGATGGAAAGTGTGACATCATTTCAGAGGCCAAATGCTCCCAAAACCAGGTCGAATGCACCTGCAGCAGAGGCTGCAAAAGCACCGGGGCGCAGGGAGCAGGGAGGTTGCATGCCATGAGAGCTCTCAAAAGAAGCTGGGGGTCCCACCACATCCTGCATCCCACACTGAGGCTCTGCTCTCCTTTGGCCCTGGCTCTTGGCACCACCACGAACCTCTTGCCCCAGCCATGGGTGTCCTGTAGGACTCTTCCAAACGCACTCACCCTGGGGATGGGGTCAGGCTGAGAACTGACAGCTCAGTGCATGCTCCAGCCTGGCCAGCACGAACTGCTGCATCACCCAGGCAGCCCCCAGCATCCAGGGCCAGCCCAGCAGTAGGGCCAGGATGTACTGGCAGCGGCACCAACCCATCACCATGGCCAGCCCTGTGGGGTTTGGTGGCACCCACCAGGCTACACAGCTCCAGCCCCCATGGGCACCAACCCCAGCCCTGGAAAACAGGAGCAGAACGGTAAGAGAGAGAGCAGGGATGCCGGATGCAGCAGGATGCAGCGGGATGCAGTGGGATGCAGTGGGATGCAGTGGGATGCAGTGGGATGCAGCGGGATGCAGTGGGATGCAGCGGGGCACACATTGCCCTCCCACCCCGTGGAGCTGGCAGAGCGCTGCCTGCACCCAGCGCAGGTCGCAGCCCCGAGCACCGGCTCCAACCAGAGATGGGCGAAGGCTCTGGGAGCCCGGCCCCGGTGCGGTCCCAGCCCCACCGCCCCGGCGCTGCCGACCCCCGCCTGCCGGTCGCGGAGCGGTGCCTTTGCTGACTCACGTTGGGGCCATGGCCGGGTGCTCCGGGCCGCTCTGCGCGCTGGGGCGATGCTGCGGCCGCCGCTCCTTGTTCCCGGCGGACAACGGAGCCCGGCGCGGCTGACGTGTGCGGAAGGGACGAGCCGGGGCTCCCGCAGAGCCCGGCGGCAGCTCCGCGATCCCGGCCCCGGGGCCAGGCGCGGGCAGGGAGCTCCCGGCTCCCCGCACACCCACCGGGCACCGGCTGCCCAGCACCTCCCGGCCGGGCTCAGCACACACGAGAGCCCCAGGGCTCAGCACATCCTGACCCTGCTGCCCGGCCTCTCCCTGCAGGACCTGTCCCGTGCCTCCGGTTCCCCACCTCTAATTCACACAGTATGGGTGCCCCCGGGACCACTGAGGGGCTGCGCTTCAGGGTGAGGGCTCGCAGGGCTGTCCAGGAATGATGGATGCTTCACTGCCTTGGAACCACGGTCTGCACATCTCCTCCTGCCCCTTCATCACCCCACCCCATCAACCTGCTAGCCCTGCACCCCGCGGTGCAGCCTCCTGGGCCAGGCTTCAGCACCCAACTGGGAGATGATGGATTTGGGCGGAGAACAGGGCAGGATTTAGGCAGGGAGCAGAGCAGGATTTGGGCACGGAGTAGGGCAGGATTTGGTCATGGAGTGGGGCAGGATTCGGGCAGGATTCAGATAGGGAGCAGGGCAGGATTTGGGCACGGAGTAGGGCAGGATTCAGACAGGGAGCAGGGCAGGATTTGGGCATGGAGTGGGGCAGGATTTGGGCAGGATTTAGGCAGGGAGCAGAGCAGGATTTGGGCACAGAGTAGGGCAGGATTTGGGAACGGAGTAGGGCAGGATTTGGGCAGGATTCAGACAGGGAGCAGGGCAGGATTTGGGCATGGAGTAGGGCAGGATTCAGACAGGGAGCAGGGCAGGATTTGGGCATGGAGTGGGGCAGGATTTGGGCAGGATTCAGACAGGGAGCAGGGCAGGATTTGGGCAGGATTTGGGCACGGAGTAGGGCAGGATTCAGACAGGGAGCAGGGCAGGATTTGGGCATGGAGTAGGGCAGGATTCAGACAGGGAGCAGGGCAGGATTTGGGCATGGAGTAGGGCAGGATTCAGACAGGGAGCAGGGCAGGATTTGGGCACGGAGTAGGGCAGGATTCGGACAGGGAGCAGGGCAGGATTTGGGCACGGAGTGGGGCAGGATTCGGGCAGGGAGTGGGACAGGGTTCAGGCAGGGAGCAGGGCCTGCTCCAAACACACAGGACCCATGTGCAGCTCCAGCTGCGAGCTCAGCTCTCCCAGCACAGCCACAGCCCTGGTAACGTGTTAATCCCAAATCCATGGGCGGCTTCCAGGAAAGCAATTTTACACCCCACAGGATGAGCGCTCTGCTCACCCACACGCATCCAGGCGGCAAGGAACCATCCGCTGCCATTTAGCAGGGAAACACAAGGCTGCGCCTCACAGCCTGTCTGCAGCTCCAGAGGGAAACTGAGGCACTGGGAAGCAGTGGGATGGCCCCGGCTGCTGCACCCTGAGCGCATCCACAACAAGAGTCAGGGCTGGCGTCACCCACCAGTGCCACCCAGCACAGAGCTGGTACCCACAGCATCCTTCACCAAAACACCGCAAGAGCCACATGTCCTCTCACAGCATTCAACCAAAACCAGGACACGAGGAAGCAGCACCCTGAACCCCCAGCCCTGGAGCCCTTCTCCCACCATAAACAGCCAGAACCATTTGGGCAACCTCTCTGGTGATTAATAGATGTGTTAATTTTAAATGCAATGCATGCCTTGTTAATCTGTTCTCCTTATGTATCTTTTAATGCAGGCTTATTTAACCAATGCAGAAGTGGTTTAAAAAGATTGATTCTTGCCTCTTAATTCTGCTTTTATCATCTTGGGATGAATTAGCAGTAAAAAAGAAATAATTAGATGGAAAATAAAAAAAAATCATCCATCATTTTCTAACGTGATGAAATAAAAATTAGGGCTGGAATAGGCACAGGCCAAGCCACATCATTGTTGTGCATACACCAAGCATGTCAGAAACAAGAAGTCAAGTTCCTCCATCAACGCCTGCCCTGCTGCTGAGCCGGGATTCCAACCAACGCAGCCCAACGCATCAACCTTCTCCATATCCAGAGAAATAATGAGATATATATATAAAAGCATCCAAACCAAGATTCAGTTCATTATTAAAACCAAATTTTCTCGCTTTAGATCAGGTCTGGGCCGGGGGCTGTGAAGCCGCCCTCACCAGTAGGATGCTACGGCTGCATCACAGCAAACCCACTGTCCCTAGGGACAGAACAGCCTCAGCCCTTCGCACCGGGGGAGCATCACCCGTCCCGTGCCAGCGGCCGGGGCTGCCCGGGAGCGCTGCCCCTCGGTCCTGCCGCCGGTCCCGGCCGGGCCGGGTCTCTCTCTGCCGGCGCAGCGGCGTTTATGTAACGGCGGCAGCGGCAGCGCCGAGCGGGGCAGCCTATTTTTATCGGCGGCGTTATGAAACCGCAGCAATGGCTGCGGGAGGAGCGGGGCCAGGGGCCGGCCCCGCGCGGGAGGCGGGCGAGGGGCGAGCGGGCAGCGGGATGCTGCGGGGCGCAGGAGGGAACCTGGGTGTGGGCTGCGGGAGCAGCAGGGGCCGCAGAGGGGCTCTGCCGCCAGGAACCCAGCCCTGCACCGAGCCTCGAGCTGCTCCAGTGGGAGACCGGGGGCTCCCCTCGCACCTGCCCCACACCTCATCATCATCATCATCATCATCATCATCATGGTGATGGCACCATCATCACCGCAATGATCACCGAGCGCATGGGCAAGGCACAGCCCTGTGTGCCCAAACACTGCCCGGGGGTGTGGAGGGGACCCTGGAGATGGTCCCAATGGGATATTCTGTGGCTGCTGCAGCCACGGTGCTGGTTTGAGCACCAAGATCCACAGTGGCTGGTCCCACCCCTGAGCAGCAGTGGGTGCTGAGGGCCTTGCATGGCCCTACCAGTGCCACTCATTGGGTGGGCACTCAGGAGACCCAGGCAGCTGACACAGTGTCCCCCACAGCAGACCAGGGAGGCCAAATGAGCCCAGACCCAACCTCCATGGCACAGCAGGGAGATGGCATCAGCATCCAGGATGCTCAGGCACAAACCAAGGGGGATGCTCAGCACCAGCCAGCCCAGCACCCCTTTACACCACGCCTGCTCTCAGCCAGCCCCACAGCACCCATTTCCCATACGCATGGGATCACACGGACCGGGGAGCCCAGAAAAACCCTACTTCGCCATAGTGATAACGGCAGGGATGGCCCAAGGGTGGGAGCGGGTCTCAGCCCTGCTCCAAACACCCCCTGGGGTGCAGCCCATCACCACCTCACCGGTACTTTGGAATGACAAAGGGCTGCAGAGGCAGTGGGAGACCCCCGCAGTGCCGGGATGGGAGCCTGCGAGCACTCCAGCCATGCCCAGCCAGGCGGGCAGCGCTGCTCCACTTACAGCCCTTGCCTACACTGGAATTTTCCTTCGCTCCAGTAATTAAAACAAACCATTTTAGCCCGGCTGCTGCAGAGGGGGCCGCCGGCCGTGGCTGGCAGAGGGGAAGGAACGGGAAGCAGAACCCCCCCCTTCAGCACTCGCTGCCTTCATTCCGGGCTGCAGAACGGTGGCTCTGCAGGAAATCCTGGACCTGCTCCCCTTTCCTCCGGTGCTGAACCCTTCCACACCCACTCCATGTCCTCTCCATCCTTCGGCCAGCCCCGAGCACCACTGTGAGCCCTGGCGCCAGCCGGGATGCTCCCTGTCCCCTCCATGCCCCCAGGCTGGAGCCGCTCGCAGAGCCCAGCCGATGGCGAGCGCTGTTATGGCAGCGCTTGCCCTACAACACAGCACACTCCAGCGACGCTCCCCGGGCTCTCAGCGGGATTAATGCCCAGAGGAGATTCATTTCCCTGCCACCGGGCACGCTGAGTCAGCACCGCTCAGCTCAGCTCCTCTCCACGCCAGCCCCACACCGAGCCCTGTCCCCACAGGGTCCCTCGGGGGTACCGGGGTGTCTGCAGGGATTCAAGTCCCAGACGGCCACCGGAGACAGCAGGATCACATCCTCCATCCTGGAGGTGGCTCCGTGCTCACTGATGGGTGCAGCACAGGGTAGAAAGGGGCTCAATCACGGGACAAGTGACCCAACAGCCCCTTTGACCCGGGCACAGGAGCTGCGGGGTTTCGAGCCCAGGGAATGGTGAGGCACGGCAACACGGACAAGGCAAAACCTGGCAAGCACGAATCACCCGCTCTGCCCGGCTGCAGGCACCAGCACAGCCAGGCCCTGGCTCAACGCAGACCCTTGTGTCAGCGGGAAGGATGTGCTGGTGCTCAGTGCATCGGCGGGGCTGTTTCTGCCCCACATCCCCGGTGGTGCGGCACAGCGAGGTGGGCACCGGAGCCCTGCTCTGCCTGGCACCACGCAGTGCCGGGGCGGCAGAGCCCGCAGGCTGCTCCGGCACACGGTGTCCCATGGAGAGCTGGAGCAGGGAGCCCGTGGGTGCCAGCCCCCTGCCCCCCGGAGCGCGGAGCTCTTTCAACCCCGGTGTATTAATGTCTCCTAATTGGCTCTGACAGGGATCCGTGTCTCCGTGCAGAACGCAGCCGCCCGTGGGCGCCGGGAGGCAGCGGCACATGGAGGGAGGGAAGCAGGGGACAAGGGGGGAGCAAAGGGGCGCAGGGCCCTGCTGCACTGTGGTGCTGTGGCAACACCAGTGCCCGGGGCAGGGGCATCATCACCATGGGCTGCTCCATCAGCAGCATCCCTGCAGGCTCTGGGACATCAGCCACGGTGCTGTCCCAGCCATGCTGGTCATTATGGCTCCTCATAGCAACCACCTTCACCTCCTATTTCCCTATCCCAAATCTCCCCCTTGCATCCAGTCCTGGCAGCACCTTCCACTGTTGGTGCTAGGGTGGGAGCTCGGGGGTACCTGGCCCCCATTTGGGCTGCTGGGGTCCTTCTGGGTGCTACACCCCCTTTCCCACTGCAGTTGCCTAAATCCTTTCCCATCCTCACACCAGGAGTGGACGATGATGCTGGATGCACCAGCACTCACCGAGCTGTTGCCACCATGTAGCTTTGGGGCAGTGGATGGCAGCATGTGCCAGCCAGGACTGCAAATACAGGGTTGAAGGGACCCATCCCCACCGGCACATGACACCCTCAAACTGCAGGGCACAGGAGCAGGGACCCACAGCCATGGCAGGGAGCGGTGACACCGCAGCTGCCAGCAACCAATGACACCTCAACGGCCACCATGGGACGGGGAGAAAAGCCAGGGTGGCCAAGGGGAGGAAAAACAGGGGGAGAAGAAAGAGGTGAGGGAAAGAGGGTGTTTGTCATGGTACCAAAAAGCAGTCCTGGGTCTGATGGGGAAGTGCAGGCTGGGAGCAGGGAGGGCAGCCGGGACAGGCAGCAGGCAAGCAGGGGAGCAGCCCTTTCCCCTTGCTTGTGCCCCCAAGCAGCTGCCATCAGCTTCACTGCAAAGGCACTGGGTGCTGCTGACCCCAGAGCTAAGCCTTGACCCAGGGAACGTGGTGCTTCTTCCTGGCAGCTCCAAGCAGTGGCTGCTCAGCTGGGCTGCAATGGATCACGGTGCCTCCAGGGCAGGGAAAGAGCACCCAGCTCCCACAGAAAGCCTAAGAGATCCAGGCTATGGGTTGGGGTGGGCAGCGTGGTGGTGCCGCTCGCTGCTGGGGTGCTCCAACAGTGGCCCTGGCATCTCATGCACCATGTGGCAGCATCTGTGGATCCACAAAGCAAGATGGGAACCATGAGGCTGCCGGGCTGGGATCCCTCCCATAGCTCCCAGCATCAGGACTGAATGCATCCATCTCCCTCCATGGCACATCCCAGCGCAGACAGCCGGCACAGCCCGGCATGGGCATGTCTGACAAACAAGCACAAGGTGAGGCCAGAGCACCGAGCACCTCGGCATCTCCATCCAAAGGATGCCACTGCCACCACCATTCCCTGCTGCTGCCTCAGCCCGTGGCCTGCCCCAGCATGGGAACGTTGGAACATGGGCTGGGAGCATCTCTGCTCCATTTGGCACCACTGGAGCCCCTGGGCCCATCCCGTTGCCCAGCTGCAGTGCCACGGTGCCACCATGCCCTGCGAACGCTTCCCCCTCTTCCACTGGCACAAGCAAACCCCAGGACAGCCGGGCTGGCGCAGGCAGGAGGTGCTGCCAAACGGGCGAAATCAACAAAGCCATGAACAGGGAGCACGGTTTGCTCCCCCCTTTCATTCCTGTCCATGCCAGCAACCGAGGGTGGCAGCGCACGGCGGCGGCTGAGCCCTGACCCGGGTACGTGGTGATGGAAACCTTCTTGAGGATGCTTAAATCAGACGTGCCCGGTTGCTGGGATCAAGGGGGCAAACGGGGCACCTCACCAAAACCCAGTGAAAAACCACACCGGAGGCTGAGGAGGGCGAACGCGGCCCCGTTCCAGCGCTACCGCATTTGAGATGCAAATAAAGAGGTTTCCTCCCGAGCATCAATCGATGCCGAGCGGGCTGGGGACAAAGTCTCTGGCAACGGGGACGCGGTTTGGTGAGTCCTGGCGTGGTTCATTATTAAATCCCTCCACGGACTCACCCCGTCCGCAGCGCCAGAGCCGGGGCAGCGGCTCCCTGCGAGGGAAGCACAGCCAGGACCGCGGCTGGGAGCGATGCGGGAGCTCGGTACCGGCACCCGCAGCCTCCGGCACCGGCACCGCTCGGCCTCCTCTGCGGCGCTGGGAGCCGCGGTCCCGCCGCTGGGACCCCGACGTGCGATGTGGTAAACAAAGGGGCCGGTGCCGAGCTCCCCGCCGGCCCCACCGGACGCTGCCACCGCGGGGCCCTCGGCCAGGGGCTCACCCGGTGCCCTGCGCCGGTGACCGGGAGGGACGCGGGGCGAGAGGCAGAGGCGAGGCTGCGGCTGCAGCAGCCCCAAAACGCGCGCACACAAAAGCCAGCCCCTGCTCCGCTCGCTCCGCGCCTGCAGCATCTTCCCGCAGCCGCGGCGCGGCCGTAGCACGGCACCTTATGTAATGTGCACCCCAAAACACCCGGCCCCGGCCCCCCGCCGAGCCCCGACGGCTCCCCCAGCCCCAGGGGTGACCCCCAGCCCGCCGCGCACCCCCTTCCTCCTCCCTCTCGCCGTCCCCATTCTTCCCTTTGTTGTTTTTCCGTTTCCACTCCGGAGATGCCTTCAGAGGCAGCGCAGCCCCCCCCGGGGATGCCTCCGCGCACCCCAGCCCCGCGGAAACGGGGGTCCCGCCGCCGCACCGAGCTGACACCGCGGGAGCCGGGAGCCCCGAAAGCCTCATTGCCCGGCGAGGAGGGCAGCGGAGCGGGGGGTGCCCGGGAGGGATCCCCGGGGGCAGCGGGAGGGTCCCCGGGGCCGGTGTAAAGGGGGCAATAGCGGGGGGGCCCCGGTGCTGCGGCGCTTACCGGGGTCGAAGTGGGAGCTGAAGGCGAGGCTGGGGCTGAGGAACGCGGCCGACATGGCAGCGGCAGCGGCGGCGGCGGCGAGGCGGCCCATGGCGAGGCGGCGGCGGGAGCCTCACGGCCGCCGGCTGCCGCTGGCCCCGCGCTGGGCACGGCGGCGGCGGCGGCGGCGGCGGCGGCGGCGGCGGCGGCGGCTCCTCCTCCATGGCGGCCGCGGCGGCCCCGCGCCCCGTGCCCCGGGGAGGGGCCGCGCCGCCGCCGAGCAGCGGGATGGGGCGGGCGGGGGCGGCAGGTGGCGGAGCCGCAGCACCGGGACCCGCACCGGGACCCGCCCCCCCCCGTCCGAGGGGAACACGGAGCCCGCCGGGACCCCCGCAACGGGACCGGGACCCTGCGATGGAGCCGGGACCCCCGAGGGGGGTTCCCCCCCTGGACCCGCGGAGCTGTTCCGGTGCTGACCCCCCTCGGGCATCCCGGGACTGGGGTTGGGACTCGGGATGGGACCCAGGAGGGTACCGGGGACAGGAGCATCCAGATGGGACTCAGCGACGGCACCGGAGGCAGGGGATGGCTGGAGCTGCCCGGGACCCGGTGACAGCACCAGGAACAGGAGGGGCAGCTCTGCCCCCCAAGACAGCCCCAGCACAGCCCCGCACACGCCACCCTCAGACCCCACACCCCAGGTGGACACCCCTCATCGCCACCACTGCACTTCAGCCCCCGGAGAGCCCATGGGCTATGCGGGACCACACAGCCAGGCCTCGTGTGCTCGACGCCCCAGCCCCAGCACATGGGACTGCACCCTCCAGATCCAGGGTGCTCTAAAGACCAAACCCCCAGGAGACACCCAAGCAAAGCTGCAGGGTCACATTGGGATGGTCCCATCCCGGCGATGGTCCCTTCCCATCTCCATCCTTTGGGCCCCATCCGGGAGCTGCCGCTGCAAGACACCCAGGCCAAGGGCTCAGCTCTTCCCCACGGGCTCGCCCTCCCCACAGGGGGATTTCATATTGAAAGCCCGATTTCTGTGTACACGATTAATGCTTCAGCAGGGCTGGAGCTCGCAGGGAACACCACGCGGCACACGGCACCGTGCCGCAAATAGACACAGCCCGGCAAGAATTACAGGCTGCTGGGAGAACAAACACGTTCCCAGCAGCCGGAGCCAGCTTCCCTCTCCCAAACCTCCCTATTCCCCTGCTCCGGAGCAGCTCCGACCCTTCCCAGCACCCAAAGCAGCCAAGTGAAGGCGGCACTGCCCCAGCACACTGCGGGGTGGATCGGGGCTCTCTTGGAGCTGTGGTGGCATCGGCACAGCCAAGCCCCGCTCTTCATGTGGCTGAGCTGGCACCGGCTGAGTCATGGTGAGCCTGGGGGGCTGCGCAGAGCCCACACCAGCACCCACCCACCCACCCAACCACCTTCAGCACCCGACCACATCCTGACTGCGGGAGGAGGAGCTCGAGGCCTTCCTGATGCTGGCCAGGGGCTGCGGTGGCTTTGGTGAGTGGGAAGGGGTGAAAGGACCTGGCGGTTGTGGCTGGAGGCGGCAGCACTGGTGCCCAGCATCCCACCCCACGCGGCATGCAGGAGCCCAGCACAGCCCATGTGTGGGGCAGGATGGGGTGAGAGTAGGAGAGGGGTCGAGGATGAAGTCAAGGCTGGAGTATGGATGAGGCTGGGGAGGAGACGATTCCTGGGCCTAGGTGGGCACAAGTTGGCTCCCCAGGCATGGCCCCACACACCCTGCTTGCCCAGGTGACAGCCCCAGTGCTCAGCCCCAGCAGTTTGACACAGCCAGGAGCAGGATGAGCCCAACCCCATCACCCTCCTCCCACCCAATTCCTGACATCGCTCTGAAAGAGAACACCCCAAAGAAGAGCTGAGGCCCAAAGCCCCAGTGCAGATCCCCCCCGGGGTGCAGCAGGGACGGTCCCAGCCCAGCAGAGCCCCATGGACAGCCAGAAGCACAACGTGGCTGCATCCCAGCACGTGCGGGGCCGGCGAGCAGCACCGCGTCCCGATTAGCAGGAGCGATTACCCCGCTGCGGCTTCCCGCTGCTCCGTCTGGGGCCGTGGTTAATCCTCCCCGGGGCAGACACCAGCTTGAGCCGCGATCTCTGTGCGGCACCTGCCAAAAGCCCCCTGAGCTCCTGACCTCCTTCCCGGCAGCCAAGGGGCTCCTCTGCTCATCCTGCCTAATCCCGGCGCTGGGAACCAGGGTCCTGAACTGGGGCTCTGCAGCAGAGCCTGCTAGAACCCCAACAGCAAACAGCCCTGCCAGCGGGCAGGGCCAGGGCTGGGGGCAGCCCCGTTGCCAGGGGACCCCGGTGCAGCAGCGGGGCGCAGGCATCGACCCGGTGGAAATCTGCATCCCGGTTATGCAACGGCGCTGATTTATTCATGCCTGAACCGGGCACTGGCCTAGAAATTAGCCCGGGTGATGCTGGGGAGAGGCAGGGCTGGGAGGAGGCTGCAGGAGCGAGTCCCAGGGGAGGGCTGAGCCAGGCATGTGCGGCACACAGGGGACCGTGCATGGGTGCTCACCCCACCACCAGTGATGCCGCATGGGGCGCAGGGTGCTGCCATCCTCTATAGAGTCCACAGGGCACGGGGTTCACCCCCTCTTCTCCCACACCACATTCCTGATGGTTAATGAAGGTAACCAGGGCAGCTTGGGGTTAACGGCAGAGCCGGGGCCGGGAGCAGGAGATGGCAGCAGAAGGCTCGGGGTGGCCCAAGCAGAGCTGGGAAGGGGCGGAGGACGGAAGCGGTGCTCAGGAAACGCTCGTTACAAAGAGCAACAAGAGCGGAATGAGCTCCGTGCCCGGCCTTTCCCGGGAAACAGGGATGAGGGCTCCTCCCTTGCTGGGATGGAAGAGGGAAAGGAGCTGAGCGGGCCCCAAACACCCTTCCATGGGCGCTCAGGGGTTACCAGCGCCCTGGGGCCGCATCAGTGCCAGCGCCAGGAAGCTGCGAAGCTCCTCGGGCCCCTCCACACCTCATCCTGTGGCTCCACAGCCCCAGCCCCTTCTCCCCAGGGGGAAGGGGGCTCTGGCAGCGCTGCCGTGGGGGGAAGGAGCCCACAGCCCCCCCCCATGGCCCAGCTGAGCAATGGGGAGACCCCGGGATGGGGATGAGCAAACACCGGCTCCCCCCGCACCGAGCCCCAGGCTCCGCGCAGGGAAGGGGCTGCGGGGGAGCAGCCGCACAGGAAACAGCTGCGGCCGGCCCGGCCCTGGTGCTTCCCCTCCCTGCCCCAGGCGGTGGGAGATGGGCAGGGACCAGGGGCTGCGGGACCGGAGCCTGCCCCGGTGCGGCCGGTGAAGGGTGCAGGAGGACAGCAGGAACTGAGGATCCCCAGCCTCAAAACCCCGAGGAGAGGAGGCTCCTACCACGGGCAAGGGCGCGGGATGCAGGAACAGAGGTAGGGAGGGTGGCACCATGAGGAAGGGCAGCTCATGGCCTGGCACCGGGGCACATGGGGAGGGACAAAGAACCAGCAGTGCTGGATGCAGGGGACACAAACCAAAGCAACGGCGGTAGAAACCAGCACAGTTTATCTGGAGAACACAGCCCTGAGCGCATGGATGCTGCTGAGCGCCCGGCACCAGCGCCGTGGCAGAGGGAGGACCGGGCCCCACGCACCCCAGTACTCAGTTGGGGGTCAGGAGCTGCTTGCGCTGCTGCTCCAGGAGGGCTTCGAGGCGCGTGGCTCGCTGCACGGCTGCCTGCAAGGGAGCAGGGATTGCTCAGAGCACCCAGGGCAGAGCCGCAGCCGCAGCCCCAGGGCAGCACCGGCCCCGCGCTCACCTCGTACTGCCTCCGAAGGCTGCTCACGCTCTCCTCCTTCCTCAGCACCGCTGTCTTCACCCTGGGCAGAGGCACACAGAGGGGCTGAGGAGCCCAGCACCGAACACGGGCTGGCCCCGGGCCCCAGAAGGGTGATTCCAGCACTGGGGAGCGCAGCCCCTCTCCTCCAGGCGCTGCAGCAAGCCAAAGAGCAGCAGCTCCGGGGCTGTTACGCACTAGAAGCATCCTAATCCCCTTGGTGAGCACTGTGCAGCTTGGATGGAGTCAGCTATAGGAAGAGGGGGACATCAGCCTCACACGAGTGAATTAACAGCACCATAGGGAAGGGATTTAAGTTTCTTCCCATTTCTCAAGGCCACGGTTGCTGCCTCATGGGCAGACTCATCCCCACAGCTCCCAGAGCACCAGGCTTCGCTTCAACCTTTGCCAGGCTGTACACGAGCGATGGGAGCAGATAGGGGATCTGTTATCTCACACTCGAGGTATGAGCCTGGCTCTCAGGGAGTGGGAATCCCTGAGCAGGATCCAGGAAAGGCAGCGAGCTCCATGTGCTCTGCGGGAGCAGCTCTGCACACACAGCGCAGGAGGGAGGGCTCTGCAGCACGCAGCAGCCCCAGCTCCAGCAGGAGACACTGCACTTCCCATTCCCATTCTCCTTTCACTTGCACAGTCCCTCCTCCGCAGGCAGACACGAGGGAAGAGGAAGCCTTGTGTCAGTGCTTGACATGGAACCCAGCTCCCAGCACCATCTCCACACCGAGCACAGGATGGAGCCAAGCGCCACGGCACAACCCTGCTCCCCGCAGCCACCAGCCCGGAGCCCCAGGGCACTTTGGGGGTGCCTCAGCACCCCTGAACCCCTGTGGTACCCACAGCAGAACCCTGCAGGAGCTGACCATGAGCCTGGCTGCTTGCAGGGCCCCTGCTGAAGAACCCATGGGAGCTGCGCACCCACAGGAGCCCTCGCACTGCTCCTGCTGCCGGGTCCTCAGGCACGCAAGGGAGCAGCCCTGGGGACAAGGCTGACCCAGAGCAAGCCACAAGGGGCAGAGGCCTCGTGGTGGCCGAGCAGGCAGCTCTGGAAGCCAGGCCTGAGGATGCAGCCCCATCCAGGAGTGCAGCCCGAGCATCCTCACCTCCTGTGCACCTCCTCCAGCTCTCTGTCCTTCTCCTGCTCCAGCCTGTCCAGCTCCAGGCGCTGCCGCGTTCTCATCTCCGCCATCTCCGCCCTGAGCCTCTTGTTCTCCTCCTCCAGCCCCACGAGCCTGTCGGTGAATTCCTGCCGGATCACCTCGGCCAGGCTGCCCCGCTCCTGGGCCAGCTCGTCCCTCATCTGCAGCAGGGACAGA